CCTAGGTTGATAAGAGACGTTAAGAAAACCTAGCACAATAGGGGAAGGCAGCGCAGCAAGTAAATGCCACCCTTAATAACGAAGAGGATAACTTATTATATAGGTTCTTCTCTATACAAGCTGCCAAGCTATAGGCCGGCGTACCAAAGGCAAGCAAGCCTTAGGAAACCAAGCTATAGGCCGGCGGGCCTCAGGCAAGTAAGCCCTAGGCAAGCAAGCCGGCGGCTAGTAAGCAAGCTATTCCAACCTCTACTACCGTTATATCCACCCAAATCTAGGATACCGAGATCGAACCGATCGGAAAGCGATAGGTAGTCGACACCGGCGCGTAGATATATATCTATAACAATCGGGAGTAGTTTGAAACTTTTAAAGATACGTAGAGCAGCGTTAGGGTAGGAGATACGGAAATAAGCATCGACGGGGTAGGCACTATAGTAATCTATAGTATTAGCGTAGTCGATAGTAACAAAGTAGTTAAAATAAAGCTATATAATACTAAGTACTCACCTAATTTCTATAGTAATCTAATATCTAATAGGTTAATAATAAAGGCGGGGATAGTAATAAACTTTAGAAAGAACTATATCGAGATAACTACTAGAAAACCGGTATATAGAGTATATTAGGACTAGAAGTTAATATAGTTAATACAACTAAAGGGCTTCTAGAGCCCTAAGATATTAAAGGATATAACTCTTACTATTATAAAGAAGTTAGTAAGTAAGCTAAAGTTAGAAGCTTTAATCTAAACTTAGTATAGGCGCCTAGACTATATTAGTCAGCAACGTCTTACTAAGCTAGTAGAGATAACTAAGGAGATTACTATTAAAAGCAACCCTAGTAAGGAGTAGGTATATAAAGCTTATTAATTAGCAGATGCCCTAAAGTAAATCTCTCGCCGGAAAATAGGCTAAGTATATAGTATATTTAGATATATCTACTTCGATCTAGTATAGAATCAAACTACTTATAATAGATATATCTAGATAACGTATTTCTACCTTAATAGTATTAAGTACTACTTTATCTTTATATATACTAAGAAAAGTAAATACTAAATAGTAGTTAGGAAGTTCCTAGTATTAGTTAAGAACTAGCTAAAAATCGAGATTAGGGTATTCTACTATAATAATAAGCGGAGTATAGGTCTCGAGGTTAAAATAATAATAGAAGCCGAGGGATATATAATTAAGTATTCGCTACCTAGCTTACCGGAGATAAATAGTCCTACCGAGAGATCTAGGGGGATAATAGTAAGAACTACTAGAGTTCTAATTAATAATATAGATCTCCCTAAGAACCTATAGCTAGAGGTAATATATATAGTAGTATATATTCTTAATAGGACTCCGATAAAGATTAGAGATTAATAGATTATACCTTAGAAAGAACTAATAAAGCATACCGTACTAGATAGTATCTATTACTAAGAGATTAACCTTTTAAATATAAGGTTATATAGCTGTCTAACGTACTCGAGAATCATTAAGAGAGTGCAATTAGATAAGATAGTATCTAGAGTAGAGATAGGATATCTCGTAGGGTATATCTCTAAGAACCTATATAAAGTATGGTTTCCTTATAAAGGACGTACTAGTATAGGAAGGGTAGATATCGTTAGAGATGCCGTTTTCGATGAATCGAGGAGGTATTCGAAATCGATAACGATACCTAAGGAAGAAGATGCTATTAGTACTATAATAGATAGACTAAGTATCTAGAACTAGCCGTAGGTACTTACTAATGATGAAGTATAGGCTAAGATCAGCACCTAGATGGAGATGCCGAGATCGATAGCTAGGATAGCACTATATAATGAAACTAAGTATACTGAGTAAGCTAGAGTTGATGTAGTTGATATAGCTGATGATGCAGCTAATAATACAATTGATGTAGCTGATGATATAGCTGATGCTATAGTTAATATAGATAATAAAGATAATAAAGAGGTTAGGTAGAGAACCCTACTATAGGTTAGAAAAGAAGCAGCTAGATTACCTACCCCGTAGTTAATAATTAGACTAAAGGAGCAAATAATAGGAGAGCAAACAAATCTATAGAGAGGCCTACTAGGAAGCTTCCTAGATATACCATCCTCCCTACTACTATTAAGATTATCGTTATTACTATTAAAACCAGCCTTAGTATCCCTAAATCTATCGAATCTAGAACCTAAAGGAGCACTATTATCGTCGCTAAATCCGATCTCCGTAATCCCGTCGATCGAAACTAGGGGGGTAGATAGGGATATAGAAGTAAGAGATAATAAAATAAGTAATAACGAAGTAGAGATAGAGAGATAGCTATAAAGGGAAATAGTATACTCGCCGTTACCGGCATTATTACTATCCTATCGAGAGTAGTCCTATCGAGAGTAGTCCTACCGAGAACCGTCCTATTAAGCGTCCTCCTAAGCATTATTATTATCCTAACGAGTACTAAGAGATATATTAGGTAATATCGATATATTAAATATTATTACCGGTAGTAGATCTAGGAAACTAAGAACGGATCTAGATTATACTACCTACCTATCTCTTAAAGACTAAGTAGAACCACTAAGTCTACTTTATACCTTCTCTATAGGCATAAGTAAGAGATTCGATAAGAAGCTTTACCGAGATAAACTTCCCCCGCTACTAGAGAACTAGGTATAGATTAAGAAGCACCGGTTCGGAGAAGGATTTATAGTAGCGGTAAGCTTCGAAGTCTAGATACTTAAGAAGAAAGAAACCTATACTAAAGTACCTATTCCGAATTAAAGTTAGAGAGGAATCTAGGTACTACCTTTAAAATAGGTCTTTACCTATAAATTCGATATAGATAGATTTCTCGAGAAGTTTAAAGCGAGAATCTACGTTAGAGGTGATCTTTAATAGATATCGATAGAAGAGAAAAGGGTAGCTACCCTAGCTATTAAAATAGTAAGAGTAATCTTTGCCTTAGTAGTAGCTTTTAATCTCGATATAATATAAAGAGACGTAGTTAATATATTCCTAAACTTAGTACTCTAAAGTAAGGTTTATACTAAGTGCCCGTAAGGATTCGAAGTATAAGGTTAATACTAGCTACTCTATAGAGCTCTCTATAGCTTACGAATATTACTAAGATTATAGTAGTAAGAAGTAATAAGGATACTAGTAAAGCTAGGTCTTACCCTGGTACCGGAAGATCCGTATATCTTTATTAAAAATAGTATTATCGTCTTCTTCTATATAGACGATATTATCGTTATAAATTATCTAAAGTATACTAAGTAGGTAGCTAAGCTAGATAACGATATTAAGAAGCAATAGGAATTATAAGAACTAGAAGCAAACTAGTTCTTAAATATCCGTATTATTAGAGATAGAGATTAGATAAAACTCTAGCTATACTAAGATAGTTATATTAAAAGTATAGTAGCTAAGTATAGCTTAATCACTACTAAGAAAGTAGGATCCCTAATAAGTATAGGGATTAAACCCCTTCTTCTATTCGATAGAGTGGTATTACCGAGCTAGATTTATAGTTTCTAGGCTAAGGTTAGATCTACTTAGTATACTACTACTATCTCCCGGCTAGATATAGCAAAAGCTATAGCTAAACTAGCTAAGTTTCTAATAAACCCCGGTCTAAAGTATATCGATACTATCGACTAAGTGATTTAATATCTTTATAAAACTAGGTTCTAGGCTATTAAATATAGCACTAGAAACGAAAACCTCGGTTTAGACGAAATAAAGGGTCTCTAGTTTACTATAAAGTCAGTTAAATTTATAAGCGATACTTCGTTCGGAGATAATAAAGATAGGAAGAGTTCGGAAGGTTATATCTATAAGTTGTACGGCGGTCTAATCGATTAGAAAGTATCGAAGTAAAAGATAGTGATAACGTCGACAACTAAGGTAGAGCTTCTTGCTCTAGTAGAAGCCGGAAAAACCGTCTAATAGTAGCGCCGAGTCCTTAAAGTACTAGGCTTCTAACTAGATCATCCCTTATCTATTATATGCGACAATTAGCAGATAGTCGATCTGTTAACGAAGGAAGGATCGACGATATATACGAAGCTGCGGTATGTAGATATCAATCGATCCTAGATGAAGTAGGAAGTTAGTATAGGTAGAGTCAATGTGGACTGGGTTCCAACTACAGCGATGCCTGCAGATGGACTTACAAAGGCGCTTCCAAGACAGAAGCAGCATCTCTTCCGAGAGATGATTGGGATGAGAGAAATCAGGCATCTGATTCATCCAGAGGAAGTGGAAAAGAAGTGAAGAAATGAAGGAACTAGCAGTTCTTGAAGCCAGGAAAATGCAGGCTTTAGGAATTGGCAGCTCTGAAAGCCAAGAAAAATGCGGGCTTTAAGAGCTGGGGGGTGTGTCAAAGTGCAGGGTTGCATACATGGGATGATACCATGGAAGATTATGTAATCATGCTTAGTAATAACCGCACAGAAACAGCAGTTTCTATTATGTAGAAAATGCAGAGTTCTCCATATCAGCCCTGAGGTCCATACATTTCAATACGTCAGATTTCTGTCACATAATCCTGAGAAGTGGCTGGCCGATCCAGAATCTCCTCACACCGACACGCTGATCTGTAGTTAACTGGGCACATGCACCAACCCAGGCAGATAGCTAAATACTAATTAATTAGCTATTGGGCCTCCCTTTCAGGCCGTCAAAACGACATGTTTGGCTAGTTCCTCGCGGGAGGAATAGTTATAGAGTGCGTAGTTGTTTCACAACATCGGACTAGTAGGAACGCACATGCACCCCTTAATCACCTTGAAGAAGCGACTGATTACCTAAATATTCATGCTTTTAAATCATATTTAACTATAACTTATCTCGAATCTTGCCGTAGGGTCAGTTTCCCAAAACCAAATATCTCCTATTCTTTGGAATTACTATAGCGGATATAAAAGCGAACTCAACGCAAAGAAAGATATACCGTCGAACACAAGCCCATTGACAACTCCCTTCTCCATTGGACTAGATGGCTATTTTTTAACTATGGGTGCTTCTATTGATGAAGATCGCAAGACTTAGTAAGAAGAAAGCACCCGTATCTGAGGCAGTTTGCAAAACTAATCGATATATGCGTATAGCCTGACATGGAAGGAGATGCAGCCTTTTATCCAGTCAGCTCGAGAAATGGCTTTCAAGGTACCTCTACCTAGACATAAACATATTTGAAGGAGCGTTCTGTGATTTGATCGGGTCAAATCTAACCGGCAACTCTGACCTTTAGCAATTGGTACTTCTTTGGCAGAAGTGTAAGGACCTCGATGATTTCTTGCCCTTGTGGGGCGACGAGGTATGCTTCTAGGCCCTTTAGAGCGACATCTTCCGCGCAGTGTTTAACCTCTACTATCTGTTAGGTTGAATACACTTTGGTTCGCTTTGATAACGAAGAGCGGAAGGTTACATTGAGTGCCTCTCAGCAGCAAATTTTGGAGAGGTGGAGAGGATACGAAAAAACGTAGGATTCGGGCTGCCTTCCCTTCTGGTTTTCCCTCTCGCATAATGAGCTCCCTTGGGCTAGGCTGACACGTCAACAAAAGGCAACCACACTCGTTTGAACTACATCCGGAAGCTATGCAATACATGATTGAAATGATAGCAGCCCCTCCCTTTGGACCAGGACTTCTTGGAATGTTGGAAGTGGAGAAAAATCTGGAGGAAAGGTAGCTCTTGCCAAAGCTAATGTTTTCGTCTACACAATACGGTTGTCTAATTTGAACAGAAGAAAGACACTTCAAGCTTTGTTGGGGCCTGGAGAGTTTGCCCTCACCCTGCCGGTATTCCCACTGTTAGGTACGGCTGGATCAGTCACACCCAGCAAAATTCCATCCATTGACAAGCCTTTGAGCGCTGATCTGGGCCACTTGGTCAGTGAATATGAACGGTGGAGGGCCATGGCAGATAACATGAAGAGCCGACGAGGCCGTCCTTTCGAAATGTCGATACCGGTGTTTCAAGACACAGAAACGCAACAAGCAAGTGGAGGACCCTGAAAGGATATCTGAATATCGCTAACCATCTCCAAGAATGCATTACTACTTGACGACTTTGGATACGCGTTTGGAGGTTGTGCCCTACAGGTAACATTACAAGCGAAGAACTTGGATGAGGCCTGTCAACTTCACGACCAGATGTCTGTACTTGGTCCATTGATGTTGGCTATGACTGCAGCAACGCCAGGGTATCAAGGATTTCTAGCCAATACTGATACGCGATGGGATGTTTTCCGGCTTGGGCTCGATGACAGAACTTCGGATGAGCTTCTGCAGATGGTATGCTTAGTGATTTTCTCCCACGCTCTCTTTTGGTTTTCTTGAACTGATCACCGAAATCTCGACGTTTTATTAGGAAATCCTGGAGCAGCATGAAATTGACGTAAAAATTAGAGTAAGCACAAGTCCAATCTACCTATCGGCAGGTGATGACATTCGGACACTCTATCAATCATATCTTCCAGGATTGTCGGAAGTCCAAGAGGAATTAGAAAGCGTTGGTATGGATAAGAACCTAGCCTGTCATTTCGCCCAGTTCCTTCAGTATGATCCTCTTTTATTAGAGTCCGATCATGTGGAAGCGGATGGACCAGAAGATACCTACCACTTCAGATCTCTCTACCGCTCAATATGGCCACATATTAGACTCAAAGTGCCTGAGGGCAGTCATGCTGGATGGCGAGTTGAGTTTCGACCGATGGAGGCACAACTAACTGACTTTGAGAACGCCGCATTTATCGTTTTCACCGTTCTCCTGCGACACATGATGGAATTTTTCAACCTCAGCATATACATTCCTATGAGACTGGTGGTTGAGAACATGCAGGCTGCAGTTAAGCAGGACGCTGTTCTTCACGAAAGATTTTGGTTTTCTTGGCAATCAAACGACACCCCATTTAATGGCCTCGGTGTTGACCCTCGAGATCAGAAAGACAGGTCTGGGTTCAGCAAACAGCAGAGCACTGTTCAGCATCTTTCTATGGCTGAAATCTTTTGTGGCTCGAGGACTGACACCCACGATGATCTCTCAAGCCCAAAAGATAGTTTTCAGGGCTTCATACCGCTCATTGAAGTCTTTCTCAGAAACAGCCCATTATCCGCTGAGGAAAGAGCCGTGCTCATGACATATATCACTTTCATTGGGAAAAGAGCTTCTGGCGAACTGTGGACCGATGCTCGATGGATGCGGCATGTGATTCGATCTCACCGCTCCTACCGACACGATAGTGTCGTGACTTCAGAAGCCTGTTATGATCTGCTTTACAAGATTAAGGATATCTCACAAGGGGAGCTGAAGGTGCCAGAACTCTTTTGATCACTGGGTCAATACTGGTATTATGGGACGTATTTTATGAAACCAGACTGCCAGATAGAGAATATACGCAATTGATAAGCCCAGAAATGCCCTTATTGATATTATTATTTATTTTATACTTTCATTTTAGGAAAGTGTGGTGGAGGAATCCGTCTTCCCCCCCCAAGACCCTCTCAAATGACTGTTGTGGAAATTCGTCGTAAACAATTGGCAAGGACCTACCCATCTGGATCGATCTATAACCCAACCACCAAGAAGGCATTGTACCCCCTTAATGCAACAAACAGCTGACAAGTCACGCAACATACGACTGTGCTGTAATTTTGTCCCGTCCCAGTGCATTAGGTTAACATTCGTGGATGTGATCGTTTACTCGCATATTTCAAACTCTTAAGTCTGCTGCTTGCTTGCCATTTATATTAGGCTTGACGCACGTACCAAAAACCCAAGCCTTCTAATTATTGTTCGCCCCCTCCTTCCCACGCTAAAGTCTAGCTAGGACGGTACGGACTCATGTACTATCATGCAGTAGGTGTAATTTATAGACCCACAATCTTTCTGAAATGGAATATGTACGTCAGGACGCCGGACACGTCTGAATCATTGAGGTCCCGTACGTAAGATATGAAGTATCAGAAATATGCTGCTGCTGTTGGGACAGAGAATTGAAAAATGTCGCGTTTACCATAGGGTGTTGGGGTGCTGAGCTCGCTTAAAACCGCAGCTCACCTGTGAACTAAGTTAACATGTACGGGTATAAACAAGATGACCTGGAGGAACGAAACCAGGGCGGTGCCATTGATTGTAATTTATCCCAGCGTTTGCCCTGCTGCCCCAGCTGGTACCCCCGATTATATCGTCACCCACCATGGCTGAAAACTTCACGTCTATCCCTACTATCGATTTTTCCCAGGCAAGTCATGCAACGACGAAGCCTGCTTTCTTGTCTGAGCTTCGGAATGCCCTGGTTAAAGTAGGATTCTTATACCTGAAGAACCACTTAGTCTCGCGGCAGGCGCAACAAGATCTGATACAAATGTCAAAAGTGTTCTCGCAGCAGCGGAGAAGCATAAGGTGAATATGGTAAATAGCAAGCACTTCCGGGATACAGTGGAGTTGCGGTCGAAAAAACGGCAACAGTGGCCGACCAGCGTGAAGCATTTATCGTAAGGAATACTCTTGTCGAGACTAGTGGAACCCTGCCATTTCTGATATAATTATTTCAGTGTACTGATGAAACCCCGGCCCCTGGTCCTGAGGAGCCAGAATATCGTAACCTGCGGGATCCAAATCTGGTATGATCTTTCGATATATATACTAATACTACGGTATCGTGACTAACATCACATCAAGTGGCCGGACGAAATAACCGCCCCCGGATTCCGTGCGGCTGTAGAAGCGTATCTTACTGACCTTCGGCAATTATCCGACCAGTTCAAGTTCTTAGTCGCTGAAGCGCTCGATATCGAAACCGAGGCTATGGGTGCACTCTTTGAAAAGAATCCACTGAATCTCTTGAAACTTCTCCAATACCCACCCCCCGCTGGGGTTGACCAAAGATGAAGATGCAAGAAGCCAAGGCGTCGGAGCGCACAAAGACAGTTTATTTTTGACCTTTCTCCTACAAGGATCATCCCACCAGGGTCTAGAAGTCCAGAACAAGGCAGGAACTTGGATCCCGGTTCCCCCTGTACCTGACACACTCGTCATAAATATTGGCCTCATATTCGAGTCTCTGACCGGCGGAGTGTGTACGGCCACCACTCATCGAGTTGATCTTCGGAAGAGAAACTACATTGATAACCACGGCAATTCTCTGGGCCCTCGTCTCTCGTTCGCGTTTTTCCAGTCGTTGGGTCTTGACCTTAGGCACGAGGATGTGTCCTTGAACGTTCCATCGCATATCGCTGACTTGGTCAAGGATGAGAAGGTCAAGTCAGACGCGGAGACATTCTTGGCGAAAGACTCTGAGGGATGTTTGGGTCGCACCATTTTCACTGGCACATTGACGACCCATACAGATATTGGAGAGAGGTGGTACCCAGGCTCCCTGGCGAAAGCACTGGAGAGACAACGGAGGGGGTGAAACTATACAAGAGACATATCATGCTTTCACATGGTAGATGAATGGACAAGATGATTTACCTTGGCTAGATAAAGTTGTGCATACAAGAGGATTGTTGTTCGTAAAGCTAGCATTCATGAAAGAGTCGACTACGACGGTGTATAACTAGCGCTCAATACTGAATGCCTGGATTTAATGCCTGGCTGCCTTATTTTGGCCTGACATATGTCTGAATTAAGGTTGTTTTAGACCGCTTTCAGGGCTCTATATTGTTTTGGCCACTATGTTGTACAGACTTGTGGGCTAGAAGGCGGGGTACAATGGCAGGATCTGCCGGCACTAACTACTACCTACGAGGGGTTGATGCCTAAGACCAGCACAACTACATAACTAATTCAGTTATTTTTATTTTTCCGCCAGGCCGAAATAAGGCATTCAGGAATTGAATTCAGGCATTCTGAATTTTGGTCTATTTACCCTTGGGATGACCGCCTCCACCCTTGCAGCCACCAGCACCGTCAGTCATAGAGGCACCCTCGCACATTGTGATGCTAGTTATATCATCAGTTGGCAGGTCGCTTCGTGGAAAATTATATCTTACATTGGAAGATGAAAATCTGTGGCAGTTTCTCTTTCTGAAAAGTCCTCGAGTTCGAGCTTGCCTAAAAGGTTCATCAGCAGCCATCATGGCATGATCGTTGGGAAACGATGCTTCTATACCTAGTTGTTCCTTATATTCCACTAGGAAATGTTTGATTTCAATTGTTTTGATTTCTTTTTTCTTTTTTTTTTTTTTTAATACCCCCTTATATATCCAGAGCCGGGCAAAGTTACTCCGAGTTTCAGGCTTACCCATTGCCTTGTCTCTCTAGTCAATGACGCATTTCGGTATCGGTGACGCAATATCAGCTATAGTTGCTGTTAAATGATGATATGCAGTCTATTCTTTCGGGTAGCGCGGATATAATTCGACTCTTATTACCCTGACCTTCGACGGATGCGTTTTGAGTTTCCCAACAATAGGTTGTATTGTGCCACGGCCCGGAGGACCACCACAACATTTCTAATTCGTAAGCAAAGTATGTACCAGAGAGCTCCTAACAATGGGTCTAAATAGGGCAGATCATGCTCTTGCTCATGTTACAACCCTGCCCCTGGACTGGCGAGTTACAAACTAGGCCAAAAGACCATTATATCTGAGCATTACGCTCAGGTTGTCCAGGCTCCGATATATAGTTATAGTGCATCACATGACAGCTCACCAAGCATGGCGGGTTTATCTTTGCCCTAAGTAGGGGATGCTGACAGATATTGTCAGGATACGGGATGATACTGTCTTTTTATCCTATAGACACGTCACTTTTTAACTATGAATATTGCTGGCTAATTGTCTATCCAGATTGTTAACTTCAGACCATTGTAGTATTTAGTTAGAGAACTTTACCACCATGTATTTACCAGTACATTTCTCAAGTAAGAAGACTCTGAAACAGACTCTTAAATAGGCAAGAATAAGCAAAATAGTGGTCCACTGCGCTGATGCAGCCTCGTATCTCCCTCATTTCCTGCATGAGATATATCCTCTCCCTGGAAAACAGCCATTTCTTCCGATACCCCAATTTGTGTGTCCAGTGAGCGGGTGTATGCCACGACCTGTGTAACGGATAATGAACTTTCATAACTTTGCACAGTATGGATACACATATTGATCGAAGCGTAGGAATGCAATATGAATACGCCTAACGTAAGCCTTTAGCGATTTTCTCTCATCCCTTACCTCTTAGCCTAAGCTTCTCAGCTCAGCCTTTTGTCTTACTCCAAAAGCACGCCACCGTCAAAGCTTATATTTTTCTGATTGATTGGTTTCTATAATTATCTCTACTATCTCTTATCAAAATAAGCGTAAAAGCCACACAAGCGACGGTAGTCGTTTGTTAAATACAGTGACTGTTTATAAGTTTCAACACCATTAACCCTACCTATATACCGCCTATATAAAATGAACTGGTAGACCTTATCTCTCTTAAATTCATGTTGTATGTCTAGGTATTTTAGTGTATTTTCCTAGAATTATATCTAGCCCTTTGTAAACAATCATTGAAACCTAGAGATTTTGATTTACAATAGAATCACAGTAGTGTGGGGCTAGGGTGTTAAAACTTATAAACAGTTACTGTAAAATTCCTATAGCGTCTACAACAGAGAGCTGTAGGGGAGGATCTCCCGACTATTTACCTAACGAGGGGTTGCTACCACCACAACAAAAATGCATCGGCTATGGCGTATTGAAACTCTACGAGTCCTTGAAATTCGCTGATAGCAACACCCCTAGTAGCAGACATTGTGGTCTAGGAAAATAAGCCAAACTGTGTTAAGGGACGGGTCTCATTCTGCAAATCTTCCCGCAGTTCCGTTCGTGAGTGTACAATATAAAACCCGATATTTCTGGCTGAGGGTGATCGGCTCAACTGACAGCTCGGGGTTATGCAATAAATACAATGATTCTAGTTTTGTACGATGTACTATATATATCATATCGAGGGGTGGTCCCGTTTACCCCCGCTACCTCCATTTTTATAATATTTAGAACCTGAATGCAAGGGCACGCCCCGCTGATTGCAACGTTGCAACATAGCGGTGAAGAAGGAGTGGTGAGAGAGTGTCGCAACCGCACTATTGTTTAAGAGGCCTTACACAGACTCAGGTTTTAAAATAGTACCGAAGTAGCTCCCTTGCTCGGGGGTGTTTTTTCCGTGTTCTCGTAGTAAAAGAGAGGCCCCAAGCTTTACACTTCGAACTATGAATCATCAACGCTTGTTCAGTCGTTTCCTTTACCGGATTAGTCTTACTCCAAGACAGAGGTGATGGTCGCTAGTGTTGATCTATGAGTGATGTAGTCACCGACCCATTTGCGGATTATCCGTGCCTAGTAATCGCCCCTATTGGCGTAGTCTCATCTCTACCCGAAGACTCTCCTATAACAAGAAGCTACTTGTAGGTAGTATGAATGATTTAAGCTACCGTATAAGCAGAAAGTTGTGCATGCAGAAAGATTATAGTCCGTGAAAGCTAGCTGTCATATTTGTTTGTCTCTTTTATAGCAAAACTCTCAACTCTTCAATCAATCCCACATTGCACCTTGCACTTCCACATCAACGTAGACCTCTCGTAACACTAGCATTCATACATTTTTTGACCTTGGTTTATTTTCCCTTGGGCTGACCGCCTCCGCCCTTGCAGCCACCAGCACCGTCATCGCCAGAGGCACCAGTGTAGTTGTGAGCCATTTTAATGCGGATTGTATTATCAGTTCGACGTTGGTTCTTATAGAGATGTAGAGAAATAAGATCTTACATTGGAAGATGAAACAGAGAAAGCAATTTCGTTTCCGATGAAGTTTTCAGATTCGAGTTTTGTCTCTATTAGATGTTCATCAGCAGCCACCATGGCATAAGTATCGGGAAAGGATTCTATTGTACCTTGATATTCCTTGGATTCCAAGTGAATAGTTATATTCTTTTTCTAAGGAGAGCCAGGGCCTCTTTTATATCTGCCGGGCAAAGTTACCCCGAGTTTCAGGCTTCACCATTGCCTTCGTCTCTAGTCATGCACGTATTGCAGTAATTGTTATTGATGATGACATAGAGTCTGTTCTAATACAACTTTGATTATCATTACCGTTCACGGACGAGTTTTAAGTTCCCTGAGAACGACCGAGGTTGTGCCACGTCTCGGGGGCCCGTGGGTGGACTTATATGCCATTTGATTGATCACAAAACATGATCTACAGTTTTCCTCGTTCGTAAGCCTACATAACGTAAATTCTATCCTCTATTGCCAGGCTGATCAAAGCCATCCAAAATTAACTAAACCATATATATCACGTGAGACTCAGTTTAGTGTTACGGAGATTTATATATAGTTAACCATTTTATACTAACTGGCTGAATAGGCTCCAACCCGCCGTTTTCTACGAGCCAATCACCGATATATTCCAAATGGCCTCTTTGATTGCTCGTCTTAATGACATTTCAGGCCAAATCGACGAGGTCAGAAAGATTTGCCAGGTACCCTCTATTTCCTATGGAGTGATCCACGATGGCGAGGTCGTTTTGACGAAAAGTGTCGGATTCCGAGACGAGCATCAGAAACTCGAGGCGAACCCAGACAGTATTTACATGATCGGTTCTTGCTCGAAGATGTTTGCATCAGCTGCAGCGGGGATATTGGTCGATGAAGGAAAGCTACACTGGCTAGATCCGATCTCAAAACATCTTTCTGACTTCAATCCTGCTGGAGACGCGAACATTGGCAAAAAAGCAGACATTATCGACGGATTTCGACACTCTACCGGTTTGGCATGTCCGCAGCTACTTTGCTTAGGACCCCATGGAACTATTATCAATGACGAAACCGACTATATCCGTCTCCTGAACGCCATGCCGACAGCGAACCATGAAGGGCAGCGATTCAATTCTTGGTGGATGTACAACAACTATCCCTATGGATTAATGGCTAAGGTCATTGAAAAAGCCAGCGGTAGCCGATACGCTCACTTTCTAAAAGAACGAATATTGAGCCCACTTGGGATGTCCAGAACGGCGGTCTTTAAGTCCGATATTAGAGACGATGACAACATTGCATATCCCCACTTTCCTCTAAGTGATGGAAGGTTTGCCCAAGTTTCCGCAGACGCATGGCCATGTGATGATCATTCACCCATGCTTGCAGCAATGGGAATGCGGAGCAGTCTTAATGACATGCTCACTTGGTCAAAGGCGGTGCTTGCTGCGGAGTGGAATGAGAACCTGACGGGTGACTGCAAGGTTAAAGAGGGTCCGAGTCCAAGCCCTTTGAAACAGATGAACAAGATTCGAACGGGGTATTGGACAAGGCCGGTTGATGATAAATTCCAGAACGAAGCGGAATATTGCCTAGGTTGGCTTCGAGTAACGATTCCCTCGTCTATGCTAGGTCTGCTGAGCTTCAATGGAATGATGCGAAAGGAGAAGGCGCATTTGGACAATATTCTTGGAGCTGAATCAAAGAAGCGCTTGGCAATTGGGCATAATGGGCTGATGCCCGGGTCCTCAGCCGTTGTATATACGTTTCCTGAGACCCGAAGTGGTGTTGTTGTCTTGTCAAATGGCATTGGACTAGCCGACGCTAGCGAATTCACCGCACAACTGCTTATCCAGGCCTTGTTTGACTTGCGCCCGCATATCGACTTAATGCCGTTAATCAAAATGGAAACGGACCTCCGAAGAGACTGGTATCAGACTGAGCTTCTAGGACCTTGGCTAGCAAACCGAAAACCACACGACCAGGAACGACAGAGACAGCTTTATATTGGTGATTACAAAGGGTTTGATGATACCGCCACATTGAGCATCCTTCCAAAAGGAGGAAATACGGGCTCAGATCCAGCACTGACTGTGATTTTCAACCATCATGCTAAGACAATCTGTGATTTGGGCTTTTATAAGCAGGATACCTACAGCTTTATGCCAACTTCATATGACAATTGGAAGACAAGCTCAACATTGAGCTGGAACGATTATCGGAGAACTCTCCTGGTCTTCCATTTGGATGAAAGTGAAACGGAGGTAGTGGGACTTGAGTGGACCTGGGACGAGGACGAGAAACCAGCTTGGATGAAGAAGATTTCCGATTCGAGGACCCAGGACTGATTTTCCGAGAATCACAATTTGTCATTATACCACAGAGGAACGAAGTCACGTCATATTTCTAATTCAGGCGCGTTGAGAATTTGTTTGCAAAACTTTGTTAAGCCACGGAAACGCTCTCTTTACGCCGCTTTTTGCTCAACAAGTGCGGAATGCGTTTCACCACAGAAGGCGCACAAATTCGACATATGTGTCTCCAGTGGGACCAAGGGGGGCAACTACGGGCACAATCGAGCGTGACTTGTCGGCCACGAAGTCTAGAAAGCCCCAAGCCACTCGGGTATCGCAGAGCTATCTCCCTCATTTCTCGAACTTCAAACAATCCTATTTTTATCGTCAAGCATTCTGCGCAATCATTGTTCCTACGCACAACCAAAACCCCCATTATATCTTCATGTCTCTCAATAACACCAGTGAACGCCTTTAGGTTAGAGACTCAACACAGACTCTCCCCGTGTCAATATCCCTGGTCCCAGCATATAAATCAAAATATATCCAAATACACTCTTCCAAGGTGCCCAGTCAAGTTGTCTTTCCGACTGAAGAGTCTGTCACACTTAAGGCAACCAAACGAACGTGGAGTGGCATGCTGCGTTTCAATGTGCCGCAGTAATACTCCTTTCAACTTTGCGGGAGAACATGCCGGGATATAGGCAGTTTTTCCAATTGCAGCGGAAAGCGCCCTGGATGTTACTTATATGATAGTGCTATTGTTAGTAAGATTGTAATGGAGATGTTGGGTTGGAGACGTGCATGGCTTTGCGGCCAATGGGGCACAAAGTGAATGAGCAGGAGAGACTTGGGCCATGTATAGCTAGTAGTGTCCTGGTAATGTCCATAAGAGGGAGTTGAATTGTCCAAGGAAATGTTGTACGATGACACGCCGTCGTGAGGTGATGATTACAAATAAAAGATATGATGGGAAGTCAGGAGAAGAGAGAGAGAGAGAGCAATTGTATTGGTAACTGCTAAGGGAGAAGGGAAAAAGAAGAAGAGGGAGAGGAGACTACAGTCCTGTCACATATGGTCAGGTGACACCCACCACAACAGGTAAAGTGGTCTTTTATGGGAAGCCAGGAGAAGAGAGAGAGAGAGTAATGCAACTGTATTCGGAAGTGCTAACTGCTAACTGCTGAGTTTGGTGTCTCTGAAGGGCGCAACTGCCGAAGCAATTGCAGAGAAATTACTTGTAAGTGTGGTCAGATCTAGCGATCTCCAAGCTATTGAATTGATGCTGGAAGCTGGGATGAGTCCAGATTCATTGGTCACCGATGATGAAGGAGAATCTTCCAGCCCGCTGGTCTATGCAGCCCGCATAAGAGACAATGAAGTTTCTGTCCAAATGGCATGTCTATTGTTATTGCATAAAGCGGACTTCAGTAAACCCCAGACCGGGGAAGCAAGTCGACTCGGCCATCAGCTTCAGAAATGAGGAGCCGGTAAGGATTCTTCTATCCAATGGTGTGCAACTTCCCCCGAGACCATTAGAGGAAGCCGTCTATTCTCGATGTTCAAAATATATCGTGGAAATGCTCCTGGATGCCGGTGCAGACATTGAAGAAATACCCTTTCTGGGAAAAGCCAGAACAGTACTTGGATACTGCGTCAAGGAGGAAAACAGAGAATTGGCACAATTTCTGCTTTCACGAGGTGCAAATCGTGATTTGTTGCACCCGGTGGACTGTCATGACCCCGATCCTCTCGCTAGAGATTCGATAGACACTTGGGATTTATTCCAGGAATATCAAACGACTGCACTGGGTATGGTGGCGTTCAAGGGAGATATCCCTATGATGCAGATACTTCTAGCAGCACGTGCAACCGTCAATCGAATGGACACCCCGGACCGTTATCTGAATCCGCTCCTCTTAGCCGTTGCTGAAGGAAAGAAAGAGGCCGCCAGGCTTTTACTGGAAGCAGGTGTCGACCTCCATGTTGCTGAGAGGTACAAAGTGTCAAGTGGGGACAGAAAAATAAGTTTATTCAAACGAGCCTTGGAAGCAAATGATCTGCCCATGTGCCAGCTTCTCCTCGCCAATGGAGCCACGGCTGGTGTACAGCTCATGGAGGATCATTATTCTTCTCAATTGTGGGAGCACGTCAAGCAGAATGACACTGAAACCGTTGCACTGCTTCTACAATTTGGAGCTCGAGCAAATGATCTTCGTGAGGGCCTCCCTAATAGCGCGCTTGGGTTGGCTATAACTCAAGGGAATTGGACTATGATCTCTCTGTTACAAAGTGCAAGGGCGACAAGAGTGGGCCATGCAGTCCCCTCCATCGCTAGTGTCGAGACCGCACAATTTCTGGAACATAGTAACCTGCTATCACAGCTTCTTTCGGCCAATGGGCAGATGATACTTATCGAGGCAATCATTTCGCAGAATGAGCCTTTGACAAGTCTTCTTCTGGGTTATGGAATCGATCAACGTGACCGAGACATTAAAAATGTACCCGGTAAATTAAAATTGAGAGTCAGTACCCCAATGGAAGCAGCATTGTGCTGTGGCAATTTAGGCCTGGCTCAAATTATCATCGGCCATGGGGGACAGGTGACTGAGGCTGAAATAAACGCAATCATGTGGAGAGTAGGAATGACCCAGGATCATTCTGTTCTACTGAGATTTATCAACATTTTCGGGCCATTTTCTCTCTTTGCTCCAACCGCAGTTGTGATGGCAGTGTGCTCAAATGACGAAGCTGCCGTCCATTATTTGCTGGAGGCTGGTGTGGACGTACACGGTTCCCCAGAACTGTATATTGACCGTCATTATCGAGAGATTTTGGAACCAAAGCTTGCCATCTATCCATATACCAAGGAGATGATAATTTCAATCACGCCAAACAGACATCCGGTGTCCTTCATTCCGCTCGAACTGGCAGTGATATATGGCAACCGACAAATATTCCAAGCCCTATTGCGAGCAACCACCTGGACAAAGGAAGAAAAGGGACGGGCCTTATCAGTAAGCTTTCACTTTTGGGACAGACGGTTTGTCCAGGACTTGTTGGATGTTGGTGCAGACATACACCAAGAGGTCTTCCTCATTGACACAAACATGAAACGGTCTTCAAATCCCGTGAAATTCCCTTTAAGCGAATGGGATACTCCCTTATTGCGGACTCTGCTGACCATCGATCGTATTATTGACAATATCAATGGCCGAGCATACATGCAGTATGCCATTAGGCTTGGGAACATTGAATAACTCGAAATTCTGCTCGCAGCTGATACCGTTGTCACTAGACTACTGCAGAACTCGAGAGGAGAGCCACTGTTACAGACTGCAGTAAAGGCCGGCAAAGTCGAGATGGTGTCTTTGATTTTGGAAGCAGGCGTAGATATCGATGAGATCTATGAGCCAACCTATACCTTTGGATCCGGAGGAACTACGTTGTATCTTGCTGGCGAAGCAGGAAACGTGGAGCTGATGAAGATACTTTTGAAAGCCGGTGCGAGAATGTTTGCTGTACCGACACCCAAATACCCGAATACTACTCTGTGCCACGCGGTAGAAGGAGGGGATCTGGAGGTTGTGAATATGGTATTAGCAGCAGATGCAGATGTCAACAGTCCACCATTTGGAGATGGTGGCATGACCGCACTACAGCAGGCGGCAAAGCAAGGGAACATGGAGCTTGTGGATTTTTTTTCCTTAAAGCAGGCGCAAATGTGAATCAGAACCCGGCGTCTCGCACCGGGGCGACAGCATTGCAATTCGCTGCAATTCGGGGCGATATTGGGATTGCCCGTAGACTCCTTGATGCTGGCGCTAGCGTCCAGGCCCCCAGAGCTGAGCGATATGGCAGAACGGCGCTTGAGGGCGCTGCTGAACATGGCCGATTGGACATCTTCTGTTAAATGAGGGGTTGCTGATTGAGGGGAACAACCGCATTGAATATATAAGAGCTATCAAGCTGGCTCAATGTAATGGCCACCATATCGTAGCCAAGTTTCTCAGATCATTCTCTGATTGGACTGAGGTGGATTCTGTGTGTTACGAAGAGCAAGTGTTTGATTGGGAAGAGAGTGATATGTTGGATGAGATAAAGAAGAAACTGCGGAGCCAGACAGGGTGTCAAGATGAGAAACCCAAAAATGAAGGGCGATAGATGTTCATAGAAATTTTGTTTGTTAAGGAATGAACTAGCCTGGAAGAGTACGTTATATATATTTTGTGTGGAGTACCGAATTATGAAGTTGTGATAGCCTCAGCTATCACAAAAGCGCGTGATAGACTACTACATTCATCCTTTTTGTTAGCGCTAAAAGTCGAAAACTAAGCAAGATTTATAGATACTAAGGAAGGGTGTCCGTAGTCCCATATGTAATCTCCTAGCTATCCTCATTGATATAAAATGCAAGCTTTATTAACTCGTGAGATCTGTTACCGGCCAAGGATCTTGAGTCTTATCCTCGGCTGCAACCCGAGGATTGGAAAAATACTGCCCTATCTAGCTGAATGGCATGCCCACTACTCTTAGTACGTCTTATGTTACAAAGGACCATGCAGTTTCTGTCCAGTCGAGGAAAGAGGGTCCGCAGGGCTGTCTGTGTGGTCCATCTTTGTGATCCAAAATCTCCAAACTTAAAATAATCCTGTTACATAAAAGTGAGCTTAGGTTTGGGATTGGCCAGGGGTCGAGTTTAAGATTCAATAGTTTGAGCTGTGCAAGTTGCTTTGAGATACAATATAAATATTTTATACGGAGTAGATGTTGACCAGCGGAGAAGGAATGTAGACTTCGACGATAGGACCTTGTCTAGTGTATGCACAATAATATTAATAGTAATTTTTTGACGTCTTTCCCTAACAAGGAACATGTGTAGCCAGGCTCTTCTTCGTGGTCAAACATTTCAGCCGATGCATTCTTAGCTTATAACTAGCCTAAAGCGATGCAACCAACCTCTTACAAGGGTATATCCCTGTACCTGCACGGAACTGCCGAACAGGGTTCTCCAATATTTGCAACAGCGAATCAAACACCGTTCCCAGCGACTACCCATGCAACTCCCTCGTGGCGACCGGCGTACCTACGAAATGTAGCTAGAGCGAAAGCAAAAATAGTCTTACAAATCGCCCCCATATGTGTTGTAGCGTTACATCGAAAACTCTTCACCTGTCCTGCATATGTACGACATATAATTAACTAGTTATAAATTTATCTACACTAGTTATTGCACGGTCTTTCGGGGTTGATGGTGGAGAGACAAAAGATGATTAAAAAAATGAAAAAAGGAAAAGAAAATTACAACTTCCTCCCCTTTATCGAAAAGATGAACTTGTCGGTGTTATGGACTCCGACATAGTTACACCATACATACAACATAGTGCTCGCCCTAGGGGATCCACTTCGGGATGGTAGATTTTGACCATTCAATATGAGTACGGAGTATGGAAGTCAGGCAATAATGCCGACCCCGTTACGCTAATCTTTTAGGTGAATCCTTCAGCACAGATCAGAATAATAACAAACACCGAAGAGTACCCGTGCAAGTTACTAGAATAGGGATAAATGATCGTCTTTTCACTCAAAAATAAGACCAAATACACGTGGTTCGGATTCCAAGCGACATCTAGAAGAATAATATGGTGTAGTTTTATGTAGTTCATAACGATATACACATATGTTATGTTGTATGAAAGTTGGAGACCGCGCTGGAACGCTGGGTCGCCGAAACTCAGTTGAAACTCGGGATGATACCGAGTAATTTGAGATTTCACATTTAAAACATCCTTGTAGTAATATACGGAGTACAAGTTTTAACTTAATATATATATATATATTATATATATAAAACTCGTAAATTAAGGGAATTCTGATTCTGCGAGATATGACCGACAACAATTGATAATCACTTTCCCCTTATCAACCTTGGAACGTCATACCTAGGTATCTCTCCCTCCACGCAGATCCCACGACAATCCGAATGTTCGGGTACCCCAAGTCATCCAAAGATAGCTTGGGCGTGTCCATGGTACTGGCCAGAAATATCAGTAGAGTATCCATGGATACACAGGTGGCCTATCCCAAGGTTGACGGCATGGATCAGCTTTTCCAAGGTTGATACGCCGGATCGACAGTGTGGAGGTTGTGGAGCAGCAACCTTGAGGGTGAACCACTGTCTGGTTACTACGAAAGTTTGTCCTGTTTTCCGTTTTACCCTTTTGGGTAGCGACATTCTTCCAAAATTCTAGAGTAGTCACCGCTATCTGATACATAAATTGTAGCCATTATGTTGTATGCTGTATAGTCTACTCCATATACAGAATAGAGATGATTCTAATATGATATATCGAGTACGGAGATATATGTAGAACAACTCTAATTTCAATAGGATTACGCACAACAATTACCGACATGAACCACCCTGCCTATGCATTCACAATGTCTCGCATAAGCAGCCCAGTAGCGCCACATAATATCCAGCCCAGCCATTAAGTCCAAGCGCAAGCCTTCAATATACCTAGGTAAGGTACTGGCTATTTGAACCGAGATTAATATCAACGTGATTTTCTGGAATGGCTCCATTGTGCCTGAGCCATGTTTTCCGGTTCGCCCAACCCCTCCATCGAGAGGTCAAAGAACTTAGCCTAAGTTCGGCTGTTCAATGCCCTATGCCAATCCCTTCCCTCCTTAGAGTGTCGCCGTCCGATGCCGCTAGGATCGGCACCTCTTGATGCAAGGTGCCGGGAGATCGGCGGGTTGTGATCAAATGTTTTCCCAAGGTTTGATCTGTCTTTTGAGCGGTTAATCCACTCGCCGTGGGGTTTGGGTATACATACATAGGTGGTTGGGAGCAGAGTCCAATTTTGGAGGTGGGATCCTCGGTGGAAATGGTCGGTGGAGATTGTACTCAGCGGCATACGCAATTCAAGGCTTAACTAGTGGTATATGCATTTCATGGTTTTTGGACTTTTAGTGCAATTGTGAGGTATGTTCCAAGGATAAACTCTATATCTAAAAAAAGGATATCTCCAATATGTCCGGATAAACAAAAGACACAAAATAGGGCGTAGTTGTAAATATGTACAGACAAAATAAAATCACATTAATACAGGACCGGGTATCAAGCCGCCCTCGGGGACTTCGTGGATTCGTAACAAAAACAGAGACAAATAAAAAAAAGAAACTTTTCTAAGTGTATATATAGAAGGAGTCGATTAAACCTCCTCGTGGGCGCGTGTAATGCGCGAAGAATTCGCATCATAATCCTCCGGCCGCGAGTCACGTTCCACCGTAACGGTAATATCCCGACGAATGCGCAAAGCGCGGGCTGAGCCATCGTCACTGCTCGCATCGCGCTCTTCGCTGATACTGGGATCGGATTGAGTCGCCTTTGTCGGGGTAACCGTAGTGGTGCCCTCGAATTCTTGCATGCCGAAATCTCCCGAGCGCGCATGGCTGGGTGGGCCATACGGAGGCATATTGGAGCCGCCCTTGCTGGTCCAGGGCCCGGACTTGTAGCGATCGGTACCGCGCTTAGAGCCTCCGGTCCAGCTCTTGAGGGCAGGGAAGACGTCGCGGAGCAGGGACCAGATTAGCGGCAGATTGGTGACTAGGATGGCGACGGTTGCTTCGCGGAAGTACCAGTTCATGTAGACGTAGGAAATCAGTGATGGAACGAGACAGTACACCTTGTTCAGGACGGCGGCGACGATGACGAAGATTCCCATGCCGAAGAGGATAGTTAGGATCAACTTTTGCTTAAGCGGGACGCGGACTTGAACTAGCATCGGGATGGCGATGATGAGCATGAAGATGTCGGCGGAGATTGAGATGCAGCCCTGCACGATTTCGTAATATTGGTAGGAAGAGCATTGGTAGTCAGGTGTTGGGACCACAGCCCAGTAGTCTGTTAATGGGCGACAGAGTAGGAAGAGTGATAGTTCGGTTGCGACAAATCCGAGTGCAACGTAAACTGCGACATAGTTGATCCAGCGTTTCTGCTTCAATCCTTCACTGTTGATTGTTAGCGAAAAGAACCAAGCTCCAAATCGAAATTCGACATACGTGATACGCCCATAGATCACCAGCATGCATGATTTCAAACCCCAGACGCAAAGAATAAATGAATGCTCCGACACAAAGACCCATTTGCTCCCGCTCACTCGTTCGGTGATAATTGCATCCGTCAAGTTTAGTTTATCCTCCTCGGTCATGAGATTTGATCCGCCACCGGAAGCGACTTGATTTAAGGCGACACATAGTATTGTATACCAAACAACCGCGAAGAGCATAATATAGTCATCGGCCTGGAGATTGCGAATGCCTAAACGCCGAATACGAGCAACCCTGTCAAAGATCGTTGGTCAGTGGGTGTTTTGTATATTGGGGATATTCAATTTAATCCTCACCATCGCAAGACGGCACCCAATACGCCAATGGAATATAGAGCCCATGTTTCACGGGCGAATTCCACCGCGAAGTGACCTCCTAAGCCAGACATTGCCCCTGGCCTGTTCGAAATTCAGGTTAACAGGATCGAAGGGAGAAACGAGAGTAAAGTGGCTCACATTTTAATAAATTAGCCGGGGTATGAGATACCTATGTATAGGGTTCCTAGCTCCGATCCTGCATATGCCGATTATCGTACGACAGGGGTGTGTGTGTGGTTCGAAGTGTGTTGGAACCTTCGATGTATGATAGGTATGGTTCGGAGTAAAGGCAGAGAGGATAAAACGCTCATTCAAAGACAGAGCACAGAGATCATTGGACAGTGGATACATTTTGATGGCGAGTGTTTCCTTGGATGAGATTAGTTTGGGAAATTGATTTCATTGCCACATTTTGATTTGTGAACGGCCAATTTAATCTTTGGCCCACTTTATCTTGACATAGGTACTCTAGAATTTCCTCCAATCCTCGTGTTTACAACCTTGGAAGTTTCGTGGCCCTGCAGCATTTTAGCCTTTTCAAATTTACTAGAATTTTACTACCGAGGTTGGCAGTACGCAGTATATACTTAGATCCATAACAAGTCTAACGAACTTAATTGTTACCTACCTGCTTAACTAGGCAAGAGGTGATATGAACACATCTGTAAATTGCTACACCCAATCACCAAGATAAACCGTCACCTAAGCGAGGATAGACATGGCTCTTTCTATCTGGGGGAAAAGGCCCACAGTGGATGAGCTGAAAGGATGATCAGCGAATTTTCCAAGATTTGTGAATATTGTGGTAACTCGGTATCCAAGCTTTGGGGGAATCCCGAAATATCAACATTTTATTACATTCGACCATAGCGGTACTGCTCGGTTGAGAAGACGAAGACCTACCAGATCGGGGGTACCTGGGTATTGAGATATTCTGAGTTTGCCACTAACTACAAGTGTAAAGAGTGGATCCAACAACAACTATGGATGAGACATTGATTGGTCCGACCCATTTCCTTTTTGAGGGATTTTGGGAGTCCCCAGGTGGAACCGAAGCGGATCTTTACTCGGAGCGGAGGTCCCCTTGAATTTTTATGGAGTGTGGGACCCCCAGAGGCAAGTTCTAACATATGATGTACATAGAGGTACAGCTTTGCAGGATCTGGAAAAAATGTAAACTGGGATTGAAATATTAGAATGAACTTGATATTGGAAGTAAGGTTCAAAGTTCGGGATATCCAGGAGGTATTCCATGTCTCATAATTTACTCTACGCTAAATTTTAGCTTGAAGGATTGTGAAGACTCTATTAATCTCTTCATTGCCGGCATGTACATACTCCATACAATGCACTATCCAAATTAATTTATTCCTTCACTCCTTAATTAGTGATTCGAGTCAAATATATCATTAAATTAATCTAGAGGCGAAATATCAACTAACTATGTTGTATGTACAACATAGGCCACTAGATCTGAGGCTAAAGTGCGAGTCCCCCTCGTCAGCATTATCCACATTCAGCTACCCCCGACTTCCGAACGTTCTGGCTCGAAGGCCAAGAGATCCGGAGTCTCGTCTTGGACGGTTTCTAACCTTCTAATTGATTTACTCTCGATTGGGTGCTTTATATTGTGGCATTGGTCTTAAGTGGATATAGAGGCTGGCCTAAGGCCACCTTCTAGCCCTATATCGCTCTATATGCCCTATATGAGACACACCCCTGTCGTATTAGCTCGACAAACATAAATTGTTTGGGCCCACATTCAGTACTACTTTATATTACTAGACTCTATCATTAGGAAGGTGGGATTTTCATGTGTCTCGGCCAGTAACGGATTTACTCGGGTTCGCATTCAGCCCACTTTTGCACTTTAGTTTACCAGGTACGGACGACGGAGTACTCCGTGTAGTTGTCGTTTTTCTGGCTGTCTCACTAGCAAATGTTATGTTTTTTAATTCAAATAGGGGGAAATACTAGAAGAAAGGGTGTAATAGTACATACTACTATGTAACTATATTGTATGTGGGTACAGAGTAACATGCATGAAATCTCAGCTTCAACATGCCACCTAGGCAGATATATTATGTTTATGTAAGTTATACATACTTCTAAGGAGTTGATGGATGTATATTTAGAGTCTGACGATGAACGGCATTGATTTAAGCAGAGTCTGGGGTTAATAGACCCGCCAAAGAGCCCCAAGGTATCTCTTATCTTCCCCAAATAAGAAAGAAGTAGAGATGAAGCCTAAGTTCGAAGGAATCAAACGCTAAAGGGGGATGGAAAATCTCTTTCTGCTGAAGCTCCCCTTCTGGGTTAAGCGTAATGCAGCCATGCAGGCGCGTTTATGTGCGAGAGTTTCTGTTGGAGTACAATGTAACACCCTTGCCTCCGATTTGGTCCAATAACAAGTCTGGGGCGACCCCACTAGGAGCCACTTGGCCACCGAATGATGTGCTGCCATGAACGTTGATTGGTCCAAAATTGAGAAAGTAGAAGTGGGGGTCGGGAGGGATTTCATCCATGGATGGTCGAACCCAACCTGATCTGATCGGCCTAGCCGTGACAGTGATAATATACCTTGTACGCCTACTTTACTCCCTTTTCTTCCTGTGTTCCCTTCGATCCTCCTTCATATTGTCTGTCATTTTTTAAACCTAGGAGGTGCGTTCCGGCAAATTAACACGTCAAGGAGTATTCTGGTGTTTAGGGAATTCCCAAAATACATCGAATATGTCTGGGTCTGAGATCGATTATTCGCCGGAGAAGGAGGTCAACTACGTCCCTGAGAAGGAGATCGCGTCGGATTATACCAACGATGGCCCAATAAATGGAGAGTTGGTCAACGCCTCAGGCCATCGTCAGGAACTAGATCGGAACTTTGGCCTTATCAGTATTTGTGCTGTGGCCGTGACAACAGGAAACACGTGGATTGCCCAAGGTGGTAGTGTTGTTGTGGCTCTGAGCAACGGTGGACTTGCAGGAACTATCTATGAATTGTATGTCGCCCCTCCCTTACCAGTCTAACAAACTCAAAGCTAACCCCTTGTTCAGCATGGCTGTGTCCGTCTGCTACTGGTTAGTCGCCGCATCAATTGCCGAATTGGCATCAGGTATGCCCTCGTCTAGTGGTGTCTACCATTGGGCAACTATCACTGCAGGAAGCAAATACGGTCGCGTGTGTGGGTTCTACGCCGGATGGTGGAACTGCCTGGCTTGGATGCTCGGTGCTTCCTCCATGTCTTTGATTATGGCTCAGCAGACCGTGGCTATGTATGTACAGATGCATCCCGGATTCGTGCCCTCACAATGGAACGTTTTCATCAGCTTCCTCCTCTGCACCTGGAGTTGCTGCTGCGTCGTGCTGTTCATGAACCGCTTCCTGCCTTACATTGGAAACCTCGGCATGTTCTTCATTCTTACTGGTGTCTTCGTTACCATCGTCGTGTGTGCTGTGATGCCTCATGTGACCGGCTCAGGATACGCCACCGACAAACTCGTGTGGACAACTTGGCAGAACGCAACTGGTTATTCTCAGCAAGGATTCGTCTTTGTGGCTGGTATGCTCAACGGTGCTTACAGTGTTGGCACCCCTGACTGCTCATCTCACTTGGCCGAGGAGATCCCCAAGTCAGTTTTATTCTTTTTCCATTCCCATCTATTATCAATGCTGACTTGAAATTACAGGCCGAGCCGAAATATCCCCAAGGCTATCCTGGCCCAGATGGGTGTTGGTTTCGTCACTGGTATCTGCTACATGGTCGCGATCTTCTATTCTATTAACGACCTCGCGAAGGTGTCCGACCCTAGCACCTTCTTTCCCCTTGCTGAGATCTACCGCCAAGCCACGGGCTCCCATGCCGGCTCTGTGGGTCTCCTAGTCGTCGCTTTCCTACCTACCTTTATTACTGCCTGCGGCTGCTACATCACCGCCGGCCGTACGCTCTGGACCATTTCTCGCGACCGCGCCACTCCATTCTCGGGATGGCTTGGAACTATCAGCCCCAAGTTTAAGAACCCCTTCAACGCCACCCTGACCTGCGGTGGCTTCATCACCGTGCTAGCGTGTATCTACCTTGGCTCGTCTACTGCCTTCAACGCATTTGTGGGGTGCTTCGTACAGTTGTCCAGTCTTTCATACTTCATGGCCATCTTCCCTCACATCTTGACCCGCCGTTCGTCCTTCGTCCCGGGTTACTTCTACATGAACAACACCATTGGTTACGTCGTCAACTCCTTGTCCTGTGTTTACATCATTGTATTCGCTGTCATCTTCTGCTTCCCTTACGCCATCCCCACTGACGCTGCATCAATGAACTATGCCAGTTTGATGACTGGTGGTCTGTCCATCTTTGTTACCATCTGGTGGTTCATCCACCAGGGCTCTTATGTGGGCCCCAAACATGTCCCGTTGACTGACAAGGCCCTGGCTGATGATGCTCGATAAATCTCCTTGAGGGATGTTGGAAGGACTATTCTGCGTATACCATTTTGCTTGGCACATCCTTTTCTTCGCTGCACGGCTATAAAATGCTCCTTTTTATGATGCAACTTAACTTTATATACACCCTTTGTACATTTCTCTTCGTGTTGGGCTTTTTCCGACTCTATATAGAGCTACTGTAAAAGTATAATCCATACTCATTTGTCTCAACATCCTTTTTCAATATGCGCATATCACACGAGCATTAATAGTTGAAAACTTAAATCTGGAACTGTTGTAGTTCAGTGTTTCCTGATGCTAGGCCAAGTCCTTAAATCCACCAAAATGGTGCCTTAGCTCACGTGACTACGCGTCCCGCGCCGGTGTCGCGTCCTCCTCTGAACACCATCTGCACCAAGGAAGAAAAGACCAACACAGCCATGGTCTTCAAGCCCTTCAAATCCCCTTTAATTAGGAACCCTGCTCCATTATCCACCGATACCCCCGACGAGCCTAGTCGTCCTACCAAAAAGCCCCGCCTCGAAGACGAACCTGCACCCAAGGATGTGCAATCCACACCAATAGCCAGTCGAAAGCCACTGCTACAAGTCAACAATCGAGGATCAGAGAATGTGACAGAGTCGCCATCCAGTGAATTGACTAAAGATGATACATCCGACGAAAGATACTTCAATGTTCTCTGGTAGGTCCTTAGAACATTGATCCCTCATAGGGTGTAACAACCACACCGAACCAGCTAACCCAGACAGGCGCAAACCAAGCGCCCAAAAAACACAAAACATGGGATGGAGATGGGATCCTCTCTACCCGCGGAGAATTCGTCTATCTACGAGACATTACCGGAAAGGAGATGGGACGGAAGGTGCACGAAGCGCACCTCGAGCCGGGAGCAACACTCTCTATCTCTGGCAAAGAGGTTGAAGTAGATTCTGAGATATCACGAAAGGAATATCTCTCTGGAAGAAGGTTCTTGGAAGACACGAAGCCAGCACCTACCTCTACGCCGGACCTGGTCCCCACACCCAAGAAAGAAGCCCTCCCCGCTCGAAAGAAGGGCGAAGTACGCAAGCCTACAGCCGCGGAACGCACACAGTCCTTAAAGCGCTCCCTGGCTCTAGTTACCAACCCCAATGCGAACCCTGGAACCGCACCGGGGGCGTTTGCGGCTTATAAGGCGCCGTTGCTTGTGAATACGGTTACTCCCAAGGTTATGGGAAAAGTCGTCCCGCGTCATGATCCCAAGGCGGCTGGCGCGTTGGTTATGCCGCGGCCGAAGTCTGTGCCGAAGGGGAGGCAGGTTGTGGATGTTGTTGTTGATCCGCTCTTGACCAAGAACTTGCGGCCGCATCAGCGTGAGGGTGTAAAGTTCTTGTATGAGTGTGTGATGGGCATGCGGTCGTTTAATGGAGAAGGTGCTATCCTCGCGGATGACATGGGCCTGGGGAAGACTTTGCAGACTATTGCGCTGCTTTGGACTCTACTCAAGCAGAATCCTATCTTTGAAGCCCCGCCTGTTATTAAGAAGGCTTTGATTGTGTGTCCTGTCACTCTTATCAATAACTGGCGGAAGGAGTTCCGCAAGTGGCTTGGCAATGAGCGCATTGGAGTTTTTGTCTTCGATGATAAGAGTAAGCGTCTTACAGATTTCACCAAGGGCCGGGCTTATAGTATCATGATTGTTGGATATGAAAAGCTCCGAACGGTCCAGGAAGCTTTGGCGAATAGTTCTGGGGTCGATATCATTATCGCCGACGAAGGCCACAGGCTCAAGACATTGCAGAACAAGAGTGGTCAAGCGATCCAGTCGCTCAGCGCCGTGAAGAGAGTCATTCTCTCCGGAACGCCAATTCAAAATGATCTGAAAGAGTTCTTTGCAGCCGTGGATCTTGTGAATCCAGGTATCCTTGGAAGCTTCAAGTCCTTCATTCGGGAGTTCGAAACTCCAATTGTTCGCAGCAGACAGCCAGAAGCAACAAACAAGGACATCGAGAAAGGGGAGTCCAGAGGCGAGGAGTTGCGAGAACTCACCTCTAAATTCATGCTTCGCCGAACAGCAGACATCCTGGCCAAATACCTCCCCCTAAAACCGAATACGTCCTCTTCTGCAAACCAACCCGCCCTCAAGCCAACATCTACAAAGCTGTCCTCGCCTCCCCAATCTTCCAAACTGCAATGGGCAACGCCGAAAGCGCCCTGCAGCTAATAACAATCCTCAAAAAGCTCAGCAACAGCCCTTCCCTCCTGACAGCCAAAAACAACAACAACACCCCCAACGAAACAATGACCGCCCTCATCGAATCCATTCCCCAACCCCTCCATCGCCACCTATCACCATCCTCCAGCGCGAAGATCCGCGTCCTCGACCAACTCCTCGACACGGTGCGCAATAAAACAGACGAGAAAATAGTCCTCGTCTCAAATTACACTTCAACCCTCTCCCTCCTCGCAACCCTCCTCACCTCCCTAGGCCTCCCCTACCTCCGTCTCGACGGCAGCACACCAGCCCAGAAACGTCAAGGTCTGGTAGATGACTTCAACCGCCTCCCTGCAAGCTCTTGCTTCGCATTTCTGCTATCCGCAAAAGCAGGTGGCACAGGTCTCAACCTCATTGGTGCTAGTCGTCTCATCCTCTTCGATGTAGACTGGAACCCGGCAACGGATATCCAGGCCATGGCACGTATTCACCGTGACGGCCAGAAACGGCCTTGTCGCATCTACCGTGTTCTGCTCAAGGGTAGTCTTGAAGAGAAGATCTGGCAGAGACAGGTTACTAAGCTTGGTCTGGCCGATAGTGTTATGCAGGAGAAGAGGGCCAGTAATGGTGGTGCGCAGTTCTCCGCTGCTGAGCTGAGAGATTTGTTCAGACTTGATGAGGACAGGGCTTGTCAGACGCATGAGTTGTTGGGTTGTCAGTGTGGGGGTCGGGGTGTTCAGGCTGATTCTGGGGCTGTGACGCCTGCTAATGTTTATGGTGGCGGTGGGTCTGATGTTGAGGATTTGTCGGATCCGCCGTCTGACTTTGATGATGGTTTTGATTCCGATGAGTCACTGCCGAAACCTCATACTCTTGTTAAAGCTTCTGAGGTCGATATGGAGAAACAAGAACAGTCCATTCGTGACGGCACTTTACGTGCTAAGATGGCTGGGAAGGGGAAGAAGGGTGCGAAAGAGAAGGAAGGCGATCCTAAAAGTCAGAAAGATAAGATGCATCAGTCTTTGGCTCAGTACTCGCACATTGACCCAACTCTCCTTGCAGCCGAGTCCGATTCTATTGCCGGGGTTGAGGCCGAAGATGAGGAGCTTGAGGCTACCATTGATGACGATGTGCTGGTTTCTATGCTGAAGGATGAGTGTAACTTGATTGGATATGTTTTCAAGAAGACGAACGGGGCGGAAATCAGGAGTTAGACAACTCTGTGCCTCGCACAACGATATAGTGCTTCGTCGGGCACAGGGACTATCTGATACATCAGTCATTAATAGATGAGGAATTTAGATAGAGCACCTGGACGTTCTTCGCATTTGCCGTCCTGTGAATGGCATAACGTGCTAAACTTCGATTGGGACCGAATGAGGACCAATAATGTCAAATAACCTCAAATAACCCGATTTTGGCGCCTGATATACGATAACTGAAAGTAATTGTCAACAAACTTACCTTGCGCTTTTGCTAGTTCATCTCATGTAAACGCCCGCAACGCAATACATGTACTTGAATGCAAGTTCTACGTATTGTCACAGGTTGGCTGCTGTATTCTTACTCTTCCTCTTCGCGTGTAGATATAGATTAGGAGACTGTAAAGTCATTTAATTCAAACAAAACGAAGGTCTTTAGTCTCTCATTCGAGAGGTTAATCGCAATAATAGGAGCTGTCCAGAACTGGATGTCTTATCAGGCATATAACAGAAGTTCAAACATCAGAGACTAAAAGAATGACCACCCAAACATCTTGGGACTTGTGGATACCGAAAATATCGCTAGGCTGACATGCGGACACAAGGAGAGATGGTGTCACTGGTCCGCGTCCTAAAGCGAACAGCATCATGAAACTTCCGACAGAAAGATCTGGAACAGTACTCGAGGGCTCAGAATTAGGTAAAGCCAACCCGGTAGAAGGCTTGGATGTTCTGGCGGCTGACTATCTCCCTCGCGTTGCCGGAAGCGTGCAGATAACATGTACGTGCTGGGTGGGATTCAAGGTTACTTGTAACCCAATAATCGCCAGAAACGCAGCGATTCTCTTTACTGCAGAGTTGAACACATTCCCAAACGTTGTTGGCAGGGTACCTGGCATAGTCGGCCACTGCATGACCTGAAATGATGAACAGCATTAGATTTATTTCCTTGTTGATGTAAGTAATTACCTACCTGCATTGCAAAAGAGTTGGAAGACTCTGTTCCCAATAACTCTGTGCTTCTGATGGATATTTGGGCCTTTCATTCATCGAGGTTAGCAGTGGATTTCTCGTTCAAGACACTTCGAGGATGAATATTCGTACAGATAGAAGAAAGCGTAGCCGGAATCTGCTTTTTAGCCGCCACAAGGGCAGTATTGCAGGTCTTGAGGCTGTCCTCACAGACCCCCTTATCGCCCTCACAACTTCGAAGACCGGATTCGCAGACCATCTTGCCTATCTCGCAGGTAGTCTTCAGGGAATCGCAGCTGGATTTCTCGAGCTTGCATTTCTGATGTTCTTCCATCAAGGTGTCATTCTCAGCTGCACAGGTGGCCTCATCAGACTGGCAGGTATCTCTTTCAGCCTGCAGGTCGCTCTTTTCCTGCTCACATGTCTCGGTCATTTCTTTCTGCTGCTCGAGCTCATCTTCGCATGCCTCTCTCGTGTTGACAATCCGACACCTCACCCTCCTCGCCCTCCACATTACCAGTAGGCTTTAGGTAGAGAGAGCCACGGGCATGCGGACTCAAAGTCACCAGAGAATCATAAAGCAAACATCGATTCCTTGTGTACTGCCAGACAGCGCTGGAGCATCCAGAGCCGCACTTCGCGGCACATTCTTCCGAGGATCGTGCAGTCTCCTCACTGGGCTCGATAGCGCTGGATGCCTTCACACGGCAAGTGTATTCGGCAGTGATACCATTGTCGAAGGTTTTCGTTCCAGTGTCTTGGCCGGCGGGACAAAGAGACCGGTAGTCGTTGAGCTGGGGTGATTGAGCCCTGCTAAGTGTAAGCCAATACGGCTAGGGGAGAAAGGGACTGGATTCTCATTGTGGATTTATCAAATAGAAGTTGCAAAGGAGGAAACCTTGATATTTGAGATAGAGAGTCTGGTCAAGCTCTCTTAACTGCTGCTTAGGAGCCCTTTTATATCTTCTCTTTTGATGAGAATCTCTTGCTAAGACATATCTGGATTGAGTGTTGCTTGTGACATGTAAAGGATATGTAGGGGGGGGCACCTTGGCATCATGTATGTACGTCTAGCACCCAATGGCATACATAAACCAGGGAGAGGGAATGCTTGATATTACGCAGGAACGAAATGATTGAGCCGGCAACACGGAGTACAACATAGAAGAGAAGACCTGCAGACCATTTTTTCCAGCTAGCCACAGAAGATCCTACTAGGGAATGTATCAGCTGGGCTGCACAATGCCCCTTACACATCGTGCGCAACCTTTTACAATGAATGACGGGCACGGGTTGCGGGGCATAAGACAGCCAGTAGCTGCCCCATAAACTTACAGGCGAAGAGCCTGTTTGACAAATACATCTTAGCTGTAATTTGGATAGAGCTGATATGCAGATTGTGGGGAATTAATGACTCCGAAATCGAAAATAGGCATGACCAATACAAAATGAGCAACTAGTGGAATGTCTTTATGTATATATAAAGTATAGCTGACACCAACATTTGGCCGTCTCATAATGTTCACTGTTCTACATATATCTGGAGCTGCAAAATGACAGCAGTTATAAGTACCGTCCCTAGTTAGAATTCTGTCAATGTGGATTCTGCATATCTGCATATACCTTTAAGCTGGTAAACTTGGCGTTTTATTTCATCCAAATACTAAGTTTTTCCTACTAATTGTTGAACAATCATCCCATGCATGCATGCTTGCCATTTGCATGGTTGCTACAGATTGAGCATAGTTTAGATGGTTTAACAAGGGTATACAAACTCTAGTATTTCTAGTTTAATCAACAGAATGATTCTTCCTCTGCTTTCTCCCACATAGTAGTGATCTGGTTGAATAGGTTGCTCAATACTGATGAACTTGCAAATTGGTGTATGTAGATGGTATAGTTAGTTATGCAATACACCGCACTAGCAAAAGTTAGCGTAGACTTGGCAGTTCCACATTGACAGAATTCTGACTCGAGAGGGCACAGAGCCTATAGGCTAGTGATTCATGTATGCTGTGTGACCTTAACTTATTCGGTTAATATGTGCAATAGGTATGCTCACCACTCAGGATGCAGGCTCTTATGCAATAGCCTTGACCAGTGCATCTAATAGGACATGCATCATCTTCAGCTAGTGGTTGTGGCGTGGGGATTAGTACTGGCAGATGAAGATATGGAGATCATGGGGCTAGCTGGCGGGCCGTAACCTCGTTTAGAATAACTAGTGGGTCACTAGGATGACATTTCGAATCTATACAGTATCGGACTCATATCGATCCCTAGCACTGCCCACAATGTGTTGTAGCTCATATCTCTGCAGCCTGTCAGTCTGGTTCACCACGCAGGTGCAACTAATACACTCTCTAAAAGGGATCTACTGTGGCTGGCTGAAAACGGTCATCTTAGATTTTTACTTTTACTTCATATTGCTTGGTCAATACTTCGGTTTCCCTCTCCCCATGCCCTTAAGCCATAACTATAACTAGTTACAGTCTATACTTAGTTGTTAATCATAGTAGCACCAATGGTACCTCTACTTAATATATATAATTCCCTAACAAAAACAAGTACCCCCTATAAAAAGTAAAACTTTGTGAAAATTAACGCATTTTGAGTTAGTTTATGAGCTTATAAAAAGGAGGCTTCTATATAGCTTCACTTATCGCTCAGAGGGTAGTTTGAATACGAAAGAAAACTACGGAGTAGAGAAAAATGGGCTTTACGGGCTTGCATTCCGGGCCCACGACCCACCAATGGGGCCCAAGGTAGGGCCCATTTGCGGGCTATTGAGAGGTCTAGGCATACTTAGTCTCCCGTTTGGGTTAACCTCGATCTTCTGTTACTGCCCATTCCATACGTGCATGATAATGGAAGTTTTGACCTGAAATAAATTAGATCTAGGTCCATAAATATTTGAGAATGCTAAAATGGAATTCAGTGTGGCTGGCTGAAGAACCAGGGAACTCCCCTACACACCGCTAGACTACTAGTTAGCTTCTTTAACCAGCTTTTTCTTGTAACTATTGGTATCTGTTCTACGTCTAGTGAAACCTGATTCCCGCCGCCAATTGCTATGTCATATTAACTTCGGTGACATAGTGGTTCCTAGAATGTTGAATGGCCAACACTAGTACAACCGATGAAGTATTATATGAGGTAAATCCCAGTATAGCACTCTAGGAGTACCGGTGTAATCCATAGTATATGTCACGATTCCAAACTTGAGAGGTTGTGATCTTTGTGGAGTTCACTTTGCATATATGGCGTCCTGCATTCGGCAGTGGAACTTATTGTGCAGACATACACGTATGCTGTTTGAGTGACAACTATTCGGTTGGTAATTGCTCGTTACTGGTATTCGTCTAGACTCCGTTAGGCTATGTGAATATTACCAATTGAAAGCCCATAAAAGGCTATATAAACCCCTTCATCTCCGACTGTTTCTACTTCATCATTCTCAATCAATCCTCAATTTCAAACCAACATCTCCACTCATCATGTCCGGAGCTTCCATTGATGCTGCATACATCGAGCCTTCCAACGGCCACGGCTATGTCTTCAAAGGAGATCGTTATGTTTGCATCAAAGTCATCCCCGGCACCACCATCGACCAGATCAACTGGGGCCCGAAGGCATACGCGGAGGCTTGGAAGTCGCTAGTCCAGGCCGGATTCACCATGGTTGACGCAGTCATCCCAATCCCCGACAACACAGGCTCAATCTGGGTCTTCAGTGGCGTCAAATACGCTCGCATCAATTTCAAAGATGACAAGGTTACCTTCGGCCCTGCACTCATCTCCGAAAACTGGCCCTCGCTTGTCAAGGCTGGATTCCCTACTGTCGATGCCATCTTGCCTACCCCGGGAGAGCCAAACCATGCCTACTTCTTCTACAAGGACCAGTTTGCGCGCGTCACCCTGACTCCCGGCAAGGCTGAAAGTTCTATTGTCTATGGCCCTTCTCACATTGCCAAGAACTGGCCGGTTCTTGCCAGCTCTGGAATTCACCGTCTTGAGGCGGTGATTCCTGCTCCGGGCTTCCCAAACGATGCGTACTTCTTCCTGGGAGATAAGTACGTTCGTCTTACTGTTGAGCCAGGTACGGTCCAGGACAAGATTGTATTTGGACCCGCTTCGGTTGTGAAGCACTGGCCTGCTCTCAAGGATCTGTAATTCCCCTGACACAGACCACCGTGTTTGGAGGTGCTGAATATTGAAAGGGATGGGGTTTATTTCGGGGATTTTGTAGCCTGATGTTGGGAGTCAGACGATGTCAGACGAAGAAGAGTTTGGTGTTGGTCCAACTTCGACGCCAGCTATGAGTAACAAAGTATATAAACAATCTGAATGAATCACGATGAAACAAAATTTCCGTCATTGAACTTGGAAAGGACTTCTTGCTGCTGCTACTTTCGCCCAGCGGTAATAATTTATCAAAAGATATAACGCTATTTAAAAATCTGTATATTGACTAATTTAATAAGTTATTTTGTAGTTATAAATTCTTGTTTTTAAAGAAAAAGCTAGTAATTATACTAGTAGTTATTATGTTCATTAACTAAAGCAGAGCAATTTACCTGTCAAAGGGGATATAAATTTACATTCACGACTGATCTATGTGATCAAATACTGGAGAGATCAAGGCATTAGGCATTGCATTATTGCACAGCTAGGATATCATCTAGCGAAATCTAAATGTACAAAAGAAAAGAGCCAACGATTGAAGATATTCAAAAAAAAAGAATAAGAAGAGAAAAGGAAAAAAAAAAGAAAGAAAAAGTCAACAATACAACCCCCCATATCCATACCCCAACCCCAAACCACAACACCAACTCATCACTCATTAATACCTGAGCTTACCAACAAGCCCAAAGGTATAAGCCGTCTCAGCCTCACTCTTCATTTGAATCATAAATATCTTGCCAGAGCCAGTAGCAACACCACCCTTCTTGGCGATGGAAGCGTCTTCGTTCTCCTCACGGATGGAAACCGCAATGCCCGTACGGGCAATGCGCTCAAATGCATTCTCGCCAAGACAGACATCAAGAAGAGTCTCGCCGCGTGTCTTACCACGGATAACAATGCGCTTTTCAGTCGAGATAGCGCCACGGGGAGAGGCAGAGCCTGATCCGGGAGGTGAAGTCCCGCTTGAATTGTCGCCGTTGTCGCCCTGCGGAGAGCTGTTATCGCTGCGGCCGCTGACACCAGTACCGGGGCGCGAGGGGTTCTTGGGTGGTGCGGGCATGATGGTCATACGGGCGGCGCCCATGTCGCGCCACTTGGAGGCGGATTCACGTGCGTACAGACGGACCTTGGCGTTTGAGAGACCGATCCCGTCGGCACCTTTGACTGCTGCGGCGATGCGACCCATGTCCGTGTTGGGGGATGGGTCGTTGCCGGAGTCACCGGAGCCGGAGTAGATACTGCCTTCGCGGCTGGCGCGGGATTCGATGGTTGAGCGGGAAATGTTGAACATTCTGCTGCTGGCGCCGAAACGTTTGAGGGCGGAGAATGCACTGCTCACGGTTCCCACGCTGCTTTCGGATCCTTCGGCTAAAGAGCGCGGGGAGCTTGATGCGCGGTAGCTCTTTCTGCGGCGGGGCCAGCCAAACAGGCCGCCGCCGGATTTCGGGGCAGGTTCAAAGGTGGAGACTTGGCCATCGAATGGGCCGCGGGCATTTTGGAGCGCGATATATGTTGGGTTATTGATCCTTGCTTGGTTGATGAGACCGTATAGGGCATCGCATTCGTCAGGGTTGCTTGACCGGAACATGATGTTGTTGCTAGATGTGATCTTGGATCGCTCGGTGGGAGGAGAGCGAATACTGATATCGATGGCGGTGCCACGGCGAATAGGAACGAGTGGTGTCAATTCAAGAGAGATGTGTGGTCTTGGTGATGTAGAATCGGAGATTTCATCAGGTTCAGGGCCCATTGCGAAGGCCTCGATCAGGCCAGGACTAACGACGATGCTACATTCATCAGGAAGCAAACTCTCCCAGTTGCCTTTGTCGGACCAGGCAAAGATAGAAGCAATGGCCTTATTGGTCTTAGTGGGCTGCAGCGGGACGGCACGGTAGCCACTCTGCGACACAGAATTAGAAGGCGACAGAGAACTGGCGTCAGTAACCGCATCTGGTGCTCTTGGCTTGGGAGTAACATATTCTTCATCTTCAGATACCGAGGAGTAGTCCTCGTCTGAGTCAGAGAAGCCACCTGATCTTGAATATTCAGATGATGAGTAGGAATAGTGGCGGACTGTCGACGCATCCGAGTCGGTATCCGAATAATCCGAAGCTGTAGATGGTTCATATTCGTGTTTCAGGGGAGAAGAGCCACGTCGCTTGAGTCCACCACTGCTGGAAGTGAGAACTGGAGGATTTGAGCGTTTGCCATTGGCAGGGCTAGGCGAGCGATGAGGCGGGGGAGGGGGAGGGCTATCATCGTCCTTTGGCCGTCTTCGGGACTTCCTTCTCCTGGTTCTTGTTGGGGTCTCGGGAATTTCTTGCTTGGGCAAGGATTCAAGTGGAGGATAGTCTTCCTCCTCTTCGGGGCCGATGCTTGTCGGAGTAGAAAGGTGAGTTTGGCTGCTAGGAGTTCGGATTTTGGGAATCAATGGGAGAGTTGCTGAGGGTACAGACGAAACCCTAGGAGATTCCGGCTCGGGTTCCCGAACAGGCGTCTTCTGAGGCTGAGGAATCCTCGAACGCGACTTTTCTCTCGGTGATCCCCTGGCTGGGGATTCTTCCGTTTCGCCGTAGAATCTACCGCCCGTTGGCGTACTTGGAGCTTGGGGAGAGACAACTGCAGGCCTGCTGTGTTCAGGTGCTTTCTCAGATACAACAGTGTGTTGAGAGGCAGTCTCGGAAGCCGGGCTGTCACCGCAGCGAGAAAGTCTCTTAGCCTTGGATCGTTTGAGCCCAGTGGGAGTTTTTTCCGGGCTACTTGGCGAGCTCCTGGGAGTCGTAGAAGGAAGGAGAGGGAGGTCAGGGCGGGCGAGCTTTGCAGACAGCTCGGATCCTCCAGTTGTGTAATCAGTCTCCCGAGTGATGATTGAGGACAAAGAGCTCCTGGGATCAGTAACAGAGCTGACTGTACTTGGCTCAGACGTGTGCTCTTTGGGGGTCCACGAGCGTCGTTTACCAGTCGCCTTCTCGCCGATGGGGACATCAATGTCATTTGGGTGTGGCCTGGGCGGAGAACTAATGGCGGAGGGTTTTCGAGCCTTGTTTTGCTTGGCTCGGCTGATGAAGCTTTGGCTTCGACAAATTGATGGCGGAACGGGATCAGATCCGAGCAGTGAGACCCACTCAGATCCAACTTCTTCTTCGTCAATGCGGAGGGAGATCAATTCTTGCCAGTACTTGGTTTCGTCTCCAGGAGCACTGCGCAGCATGAGCACGATTTCATGTTTCGATTCTCCCCTGCGTGCCGAAACACATCTCAGGTCCATGGGAGGGAAGAGAAGCCAGCGATCGGAATGATCGATTTCACAAATCAAAAGATCGCCTCCAGGCCCTTTGCTCGAGGCGTTGTCTCGATACAGAAGCTCGGCTCGACAATCCACAAGCTGTCCGCTTGAGTGATATAACGATAGATTGAAGAAATCACGAGCACGGACGTGGCGAGTCTGATCGATACCGATGCCGCGGAGGACGCCTAAGGTCATGGGGTCTCTTGTCCGTGTTGGGTCGATACTGGCAGCCGAGTCATCTTCCAACCTCGCTCTTTCATCGCGGACACGTTTTCGGGCATCAATGACAAGACTTTGATAGGCGGCGGCGGTTTCTTCGGCCTTTGGCGACGGCTCCAGCATATTGATGCCCTTGAAACTCTTCGCTAGATACTTTAGACGTACCAACGGCCGCTTCAACAGATAGGCTACATCGACCTTTTCTCCGTCGCTGTCTACAATGTCGCCATTTTCGTCTCGCTCCAAGCCTTCATCCAGGCTCTTCGTGTCAGCATCGTTCGTGACTTCATCTTCTTCCAAAGGAGCTAGGTTGACAATGACATCCTTGAATCCAAGTCGCCACGCCTTCAAGTACTCGCGGTAGACTCTCTGGGCACCTTGCGCCCATGTAAGCAATGCATCCGCGTTGTCCTGCGGGATTCGCTTGTGCAGGTTCTTCAGGCGCTCGATCGCCACCCCCATGTTAACAATTGGCTTTGAGAAGTTAACATCGTCTTCAGGGTCCAAAGACGGCCTAAACAGGCCTGCGGCAATGGCCGAATCAGAGCGGGACAGCACGCAAGTCAACAGGACCGGGATCACACCCCCGACCAAGGTTTTCAGCTCGCGCATATACTTCGTCTCGTCGCCCGAAAGCTCATAGAGCAAATCGTCAACTGTTGCATGGGCCAGACGACTTTTGTTAGTGCGAATACTTCGATTCGATCGAGTGCTTCTACTCCGCGAGGCCGAAATAGATAGCACAGACATGAGGTCATTGTGAGTGGTAAGCCGTCTTTTCAGTTGCGAGGAGACCACAGGTAGCGAGTCTGGGTCAAACTGGTCATCCTTTTCTGCTTCTTCTGCTTCCTCCGCAAGTTTTGATTGACGTTTTTCGGTGGAGGTAGACTTCGGTACGTGCTCAGTTAGATCTGTCAGACTGGTGCTCAATGTTTCCGAAGAAGCAATCGTTGATAAACGATGGTAACCGGTGGACGGGAATGGCTTCTTATGGCCAAGCGGTACGGGTGCAATATGTCCCGACAGTTCAGAGCCGCCGTCAGAGAAGGGATGAAACTCCGACTCTGAGGGCGCTAGACTATCCTCATAAGGCTTGTTGTTGTTGTCTTCGACAGGATTGTCCTCTTTGCTCTTGGCAGATAACTTGGAGGTCCTATCTATACTAGCCCGCTTCGACTCTGACGCTATGTCGCGAGCTTGTGCCTTTGGTGCTTTTTCGATGGAAGAAGAGCTGTCCTTTCCCTTAGAGTTCTTACTCACAGAGCTCTTTGGGCGATCGGAGCTCTTCGGGCGCTCGCTGATCGTTGATGGTTCAGACTCGGTACTAGCTTGTAGGTCTCCGTCTGCAAGTTTTTGAGATCGTCTTGCTCGGCCTGACTTCAGATCCAGAGGAGCTGGTATGTCATTCTTAGATCCGGCTTCATCCATAAAAGGATCCGGTGTGTCAGAGAGCCATGCCTCGATTTTGGCTCCACGGCCCGTAGTCGGCGTAGGTGTAGGTCTCGGCGGTTCGGGCTCGGGGATTCCAAACATCTTTCTGGACTCGTCGATCATGTGCGCGAATATACCACCTTTGGGGGGCTTTGCTGGGCCGCGCTTGCGTCTTTTCGACAGCTCGGAGAAATCCGCTTCGCTTGCTGCCCACGCATCCTCTGGGGGAGGGGAGCGTGTCCGAAGTCTGTCCGAGAGCTCCGAAGGCTCGACGGATTTGGGATGGTCTGTCTCATAGTCGCTCTCCGTGATTGTATCGATGTTTTGTCGCGCACCTGCGGACTTGGTGTCGCGAATAGGCGATTTAGACCCCGCCCCAGTGCTGCGGTTTGTCTGAGATCGAGGAAGATCACGAGATTTCCCGTCTTCGTCTTCGTTATTGTCGTGTTTGCCCCGTGAAGACTTCGGCTGCCCTTCGTTTGTGGTATATTCGGCTATGCGCTTAGGTGCAGGTAGATTGCGCGACGAGGATTGGGTCGAGGCTCGATTTCGCGTTCGTTTCCAATGCTCGTCGCTCACCACACGTTTGCGGGGTGTGCTGTGACTGCGCTTCCTTGTGGTCGGGGGTTTGTCCTTGTTCGGCTTGTCCACCTTGTCCACCTTCTCCGACTTCTCTACCTTGACCTTGGCAGGTGTTGGTTTCGGCTTCGCATGATTTTCATCATCATCATCAGCATAGGGGTCGTCCACTGTCACAACCCCGCCGCCTTGTTGCTGCCATTTTCGCACTCTAGAGCGCACCGTGTTCGTGTCGTGTACCCCCAGCGGTTCCCCGATGTCCAGCGGTTTTGTGGATTTTGCAGTTCCTCCACGGTTGGAGGGACGTTGTGTCGTCGCAGGAGATGGCATCGGTACCTATACGAGGGGAAAAGAAGCCAACATTTAGTAGGAAGCTCTCTCTCTCGGTTTTGGTTGTCCAAGCAGGTACCCGAACAAAACACCAAAACACAGGGGGGTTTGGTTGACTTAGACTGTCATAGTAAACTTACCAAAGCCCCCAAAGATGTTTAACAAATTTGGAGCATTTGCTTTTTTTTTGGGGATCGGAAAATCTCCTTCAGGGATCATATAAACAATTAGACTTGGAGGTTGGGGCTGACAAGTTCGATAAGCCTCTCTTCCCCCTCCCGCACTAAATTGGTTGCCGGGAAACCAAGTCACGAACAACCTTCACTAACTAGTTAGTAATAGAGGATTAACCCCCTTCAAGTGTTTATTTAAGAGATGACCTTGGATCTTAAAATTAAGAAAGAAATCATTGGGGAGATACAAGTAAAAATAATTAATATGAGGAATATTGCCGAGTTGCGCGTCAGGTGGCCCCCTGTGCATGTCATAGGGTACTTTGACTTAGTGTGCCTATAAGCCTATTAACCTATTAAACCTATTAAACCCTAGTAAATCCCTGAATATAAATGATTGATAGGATATAGTCCTCATTTAATGATCATGTAGGGCTATCATATGATCCTAAGTACTATGCAGTGACCAATTTCCCCCTTCTGACCCATCTCTTCCATCTCAACCTCTTTCGTACAAAAAGGTTCTAGCCCAATGCTCCACTACAACATACGCCTCGACCCCCCACTATACCAGCTATGACGAAAGAGGTGTTACTTAGTCTTGTCTTTTTCCGACTGACGTTTGAGTGCAGCTGAGATGGTGGAGATGCTGTGATAGAGATAGTCTATAATAAATAAAAAAAAATGGTCAGCTTATAACGAGAATCCCGGGAACTACAGGACATAGACATACACGCCGGGACAATAATCCAGATGAAGTTCATCAAAAAGTAATACAGCCAAAAATAATACGGCTCCGGTCGGGAATATGGTCGGCCGTGGACATAGTCGTCAAACAAACTGGTCGCATAATACAAGGTGTCGCCGTACAGATGGCTCATGCACACAATGAGTTGGATCGGGTGGCGCAGGGAATGCCTGGTTGCGGTCAAGTATGCAACAACGAAGCACAATGGTCCCCACAGGAGCTTAGTAGGAATCAGGGAATCAGCGGTGAAATCCTCGAGTGTATAATACTATACTATGTTGATACATAGTGGTGGGACTCACCACGGTCATTGTCTCCATACATAACACCAACGTGTCCGAGGTCATATACCGGGAATCCGATAGAGCATATTCTTTCCATAGTTGCCCAAAAAGATCTTGGGCAGAAGCCATATGGTCATGGTGGACCATAAAGTAACCCTCGAAGAAGCAGTGCAGAGTTCCAGCTATAAATCCCCATTTTGGTCAATATTCAACCTTCATGTTCATCTTTTCTCGGTTGGCGTCTTACAGAGCACAAACCACAAGATGGCGATTCGATCCGCCATGCGCAGTGTCGGTTTCACATAGCTGGCCAGCGCAAAAATCACACTAAGAAGAATAGTACATGCCCCACCAGCAGAGACGAGAAGTTCCAACACTGGAGTCCGGTTGGGCTCATAACCCACAACATTGGCATCAAGGGGGTAATATGGGTGTGATGGAGGACTGGGCATGTTTGCAGTACCCCTGAGACTTGAAACTCTCTAGATCTCGACTGTTAATGCCCCAGTATCGCCGAAACACAATATAAGAAAAGGATAGAAAGGTCAATGGACGAGAGGTCGGAATGTTTTGCTTGGCTTTTTGCGAGGGAGGTGGATTTGAGTTCGGCCAATAACAAGCTTAAACAACATTTGAAGCTTAACGGATCTACAGATGAAGCCTTGATTTGAGAAGATACAATCAGAGATGAGATCAAGCAAAAATAAAGAACTAGTGACACAAAGCTTGAAATCCTTGCATTTTGTGTTCGTCTTTTAGCATTATTCTCATGTGAATTTATGCCTCAGGCGACAATAAATGCCTGAGGCATGGTATTGTTACACAGCGCATCAAACTACAACATACATAGTATACTAGAATAGTATACTAGACTTCTGATACTCTGGACACTAGCGCATAAACTGTGCTGTTTTATACGTATGCTACAACGGCCAAGCAAAGAAGAAGTGCAGTGCCGGACCAAAACTCTGACTATCCCACCAGTTATTTTCGCATGGTGATAAAAATGTCCTATACGAACACCCGTGTCATGACACGCACTATATATAACGGAGCCTGGACTATCTGAGCGTAATGCTCAGATATAGTGGTCTTTTGGCCTAGTTTGTAACTCGCCAGTCCAGGGGCAGGTTGTAACAACCCGCATATTATCAAGCCATACCCTACCTACACTTAACGCCGCCGTGATCTAATTCATTAAGGCCAAACTTGGTTTAATGGCCTGGTAGGCCTTCCCAATAACATGATATTCATACTACTGGTATATTCAAAGGTCTTTCTTCAGCAAAATGACTGACAAGGATGGAGATACTCACTCCTCGCTAAAACCCCATAGGAAATTAGCGAGGATAAGTCGTGCATCATGCAGGTTCAATCCACACGAGTCCCCGTACTTGACTAACACTTGTAGGGGCCGATAGTCGTCCTGCTCGACTGCTCGCTCGACTGCTGTGTCTACCATATCCTGTGATACTGCAATATCTTTTCGGTGGGCAAACAAAGTCTTCAAAACCCATCCCCGGCCGGCTTTTAAGGCACCGACTATAAGTCCATCGGTCACTGAAACTTCAAACTCACTCTCGAGAATGAGATTTAGTGTAGACACAGATACCCAATCACGCCAATCATTTGGTGTCTCTTTTTTGTCATCACTGCATTTAGAATATCCTGGCACAACTGGGAATCTTTCACATGGGAAAAAAGAAACTCAACATCCGTCGCATATGCAGCATTCAGAAACATCTGAGGGCATACTTCGATGTGTGGGGCAAACTTCCAAAGCACCCTGAGCATGTCAAGGCTACAACCGGAATTTCCTGATGCCCCAATCAGAATGTCTTGGGTAACAACGGCGTTATTTAGTTTCAAAAGATGCTTCATCACCTCCAAGCTCCCCTTGGCCGCGGCGGCTAACAGAACAGGTGGCGTGGCCTCGGTGGTTGAGCATCGGTCCAATACCAAGGTCAGCATAGCGTGATTGCCTGACTCGGCCGCAGTTTGCACACTCGTTTCGCAGAGATCAAGCTGTCCGAAACGGCTCTCCAAAATCTGGAGTGTTTTATAACCCGAACACTGATTACGGATGACTGCGTCAACAACCACCGAGGATGGCTTTTCAATCGTTGCGGTTCGCTGCAATAAAAGCTTGGTCATTTCATCTGCGAATCGGCGATTCTGAGCAGCACCAAGTAGCATCTGGCTCGAAATATGTGTCGAGCCGTGACGGTCGAGAAGTTTCGATATGGTTTCGTCGTAGTCCAACTGTTTCAATGCGTGTACGATCACAGCATCGGTAACTTGCATCTCTCGGTTATCCTCCAGAATGACATCCAGGATGATGTTCCCTTTTATAGAATTTTCCGTGCAAGCAATCAAAATCTCCTCTGCAACCTTCAAACCAGGTTTTATTTCAAGGAGCACTTGAAGGGTTTCGGGATTCCCCCATGTATTCTGAGCGCATTGCAACATCATTTGAACCCATAGTTCATCATCTAACGATCGATTCATCAAGGATACAAGTAGCTTGACCATTCGAGCCCCATCCCTGATATTTCGCGCTCCGCCAACAATGACTTTGGGCGTAATTGGGCCACCAGCCTTAAGCATAACCTCGAAAGGAGCGACTTTTCCCCATCTTGCAGCTTTCACCATAACCTTTTCTGTTACCGGCCAACCGTGATTAAGAAGAATCCCAAGCACTTCAGAGTTGTCTTGAGAGCTAACGGCTTGCATCATAGCTCTCTCGGTCCCTTTGACTTTCCCAGCGCGTTCCAGTAAAAGCTCTGTTTTGGCTCGCATACCGTCTCTAGAACCGTAATAGGTAGCCACTGCGATAACTTCACATGTAATGATTGATCCACCATTCTTGTCAAGGATCTCTCTCAGCCGCTCAATGGGTATGTCGACTATAGTATTCCTGAGTATCTCAGAGGTGATTAAGATGTCGGGGGCTCGGCTGAGGATTGCTTCAATGGCCGTGTAAGAGGTTATGGATTCTTCAATGAGCTCCGTCGTGATGTGGAGATTTTTATTATGATCAAGCAACAGCTCAATGATTTCCTTATCTTTACAGCCAGTATCCAGAATGACCGGGACGGTAATCAGGTCAGGCTCGATGAGAGTCAAGAACAATCTGAGCGGCTCGATATGGTCGTTTTCAACTAGTGCATTCAAAATGCGCTTTTGGAGTAATCGACCCTTTGTTTCTCCCATCAAATACTCCCAGATATAATACTGGGAGTGAGTCACGGCCGCCAGAATACATGCTTCTTTGACATCATCATCGAGATCATGGTAGTGATTGGTGCGAAGAACTTCACTGAAGCCGAAGACGCAGGAAAGCAAAACTCCCCGGTCCCGGGACCGATGGTAATTCTGCAATAGCTGGAGAAGATGCACTCCACATACGCCTTCCATTTTGCGGCGTTGGCGAGAATGTACCCAACACTTCAGTGGACAGTCCGAATCCGAGTCATCAAAAAGAAAATAGCGCAAGAGATGGAAAATGTGTAGTTTCTCGTCTGATCGATTCGTTTCCCCTGCGCCCACGCAGTGTATATTCCAATTTCGCAAGGAGTAGTCATGTATGCCTTTCCTGTAAGAGTCAATCTCTGACAAAGTTACGGTATCTTTATCACTGAGGCCCAATCCGCTGAGAAAATGGTCTGCACTGGGCGACCCGGAAGCTCCGAGCAATTTCAACAAGCATACTTCGGCGGCAAAGGTGTTGCTAGATTCCATGGAATATTCGGGCTTCGTTTCTAAAAACTCTCGCACTGACAGATGGGCGAAACGGAAGGTCCTGCTTCCGTCTTGGGTTGTCTGAGAGATCACGAAATTGCTGAGAAGATCTAAGATGAAGTCTTCATCAATCTCGTATACCTCAATATCCACGAAGGCCGTGATAGCTAGGGAGAAGTCTTCCCAACCAAAAACTCTCGTCGTGCATAACATCCATTTCAGCGTGTTTCGGAACAAAGCCCGATCTGTCTCTTCGGTGCTTTCGAGTGCCTTTATGTAGAGATCCTCGTATAGCTCGCTGAGTGGACGCGGGATCCTCGACATAGCAAATCTGATGTCCCTCTCTGTCCGAATCCAACGAAGACTCTGCAGCTGCAATTGGGCCCAACGGAACCTAACCCGTGTAAGCCTTTGTGTAATTCAAAGCCCAAAAAGATCCGAACTCACATCCCATTAGCCTTATAAATGGTATCTTTCTTGATCAATGTCTTCAAATCCTCCTTTGTCGCCTTGACTCGGATAGAGCCAAGTAGCTGGTTCTTTGCAACAAGTTTGTCTGTTTCAAAATTCACAAATTTCTCGATATCGGGCCCATTCTCTACCCACGTCACCTGAACCCCGGAGTGCGCCTGGATAGATAACCTCAAGTCACCCTCCTCGCGCGAAGTGACAAAAGCCTTCACGAGGCTAGTGGAGTTATTGATAATGTACTCGAGTGCCTCGACAAGTTCCGCTCGCTCCTCCCTGGCACACTCATCCAGAGCATCTATCACAATTGTCGTCCGGGAATGAGCTTCGGTCAGTTCTACGATTAAATCACGACATTCCCACAGACTGGGAGCTCTCATGGACCCATCTGCCAGGTGCATTTTCCTGTAAAGAGAAAGTGTTGGGGGAGCGAGGGGTCGGTTTGAAGATGGGCTGGAAAGCTGACGCGCAATACACCCAAGAATACTCTGTGCATTCCCACGTTGGGGCTCGGCAGTGTTGCGTGAACAATAAAAGTAGGCGTGAGCGAAGTCTTCACTATGACTGGAGACATCCATTCCATCGTCAATGACCACCGATGCTAGGCAGCTTTTGCCAGCACCCTGAGCACCATGAAGCCAAAGCAGCGAGTTTGTGCTTTCACATTTCCATTCAGTGAAACTTGGATGTTGCAGAACCCATTGGCACGTTTTATCCAGGACTCTGGATTTGATCGTGGTATGGTGATCAAGATACGGTTGAGTAGACAACCAGTCCAACATCTGCCGTCGCTGCATACCTGAAAAAGAGGTCAGATTGCTGCGATCAGTTAACCAGGGAAACTTACTGTCTAAATGATCCTCAAACTTGTTCAATTGGAAGGATACCTGTGAGATTGGCTCTGCCATTTGACGGAGCGTATCTCGCAGTGATTGAAATGTCTCCATCTCTATAGAACCATCAGTGGTGTATCTTTTCATGGATTAAGTCATCTCCTTACCTAATGACAAAGTCGCAAGATGAGAGGCAATATCGTTGTCCACTTATAAAATTGTGATCAACTACGCAGCGCGAACGAAACAAGGGGAGTGGAATACCTACTCTCAGCTTGAACCAAGCTTGCGCATCTGTCGACCAATTTCTCATCCGCTTCCATTTTCTCCAAAAGATCTTGGAAATCATTTTGTCCAAGAAGCCCACTTTTCAAAATTCGTACTAGAGATTGTGAGCTTTCCCCAGCTACAGTCCAAATTGGCAATATGAGCTCACCTCCTGTTTCTTGTTCAAAGTAGCGTTTGGCCTCAACAAGGTATTTGAGGATCGAGCCATATACCCTCACAACGGCCTCCTCGAGCTGCTCCGAGGCAGCTGAACCTTTTTGGGAGTAAATCTGCTCGATGATTCTATACCGTGCCGTCATTCTGGCGATTCTTTCGGCCCCCTGTACAACGAAATCAAATTTGCTGAAATCGTTGATAGCAATCTGCAATAAAAATCGAGCTCCCGCCCACGGTAAGGCAGCATGGCCCGGGTCATACTGCACAGCCTGATCGCCCACTGATTTGAATAGCTCGATACAGTGTGCGACTTTGCTCAGGAGGTCACGAATGATAATTTTCTTTCCTTTTCCTGGGATCGTGATTTGCCATCTCTTGTGGACGCATGTGTTGTATGCTTCCCGAGTAGTTCGCTCGAGACTCTCTAATATATCAAGCTCATTTTGCCGAGTTCTCTTCATACCATCGTCGCTTTCAAAGTCGAGAAGCTTCTGGTCAATCTTGTCCAGTTTGGCTTTGGCAGTCATCCAAAGGGACTGAGTCTCGATGTGCATGGTCAGTAATTGGCCGAAGCGGATATCTAAATTAAAATTAGAAAAAGGAATCCCAGAAGAGACTGGGTGCATCCATAGTAGGTATTGTTGACCCCGCGATTATGTGGGGTTTGTTGATATGTCGAAGCTGTCGAAGCATGAAGACCGGCATACCGGATGTTTTATTAATCCTATTTCCTTCCCCTACCGCCTTCTCAATTGGATACACCGCCCATTATTAGTTAGCTTTCATTGGTAGAAGGGTAAGCGGCAGTGTGGGGCGTTAAAACTTTTCCGTAACGTATTTCACATACAAGTTGGTTCAATACATAACTATGTACCTAGGTACCTTGGTACCTCAGGTGGATCCGATGGATCCACTTTGAGTCCTGGGCACGACTCTCTCTGGCAGTACGGAGTAACTATACCTCCTACCTAGGTAGGTACCTACAACGTAAGTAGGACGTGACAATCAACTAGGGCAAAAGGTTTATTTGGCCCTTTGCACCAGGCCGATGTTACTCCGACCGGCTGGCGTAATGCAAGTCGATGGTTGTTGTTCTTATCGGACAATGCAACATGGAGAAAAGACGACTACTCACTACTCGGCTTCCGAACAGCATAAAAAAGGTATAGGCCCCCTATAAAGGGGCCTTTATGATGATTGGTCAGAGTGATAGAAGTTGTTATACAATATACAATACTACTACGAAGGCAATTGTAACTAATACTATATATATATCCACACTAAACTCTAAACCTTTGTTTATATTCCGAGTTCTACCAGTATATATTATGCTTAGGTTAACCGAGGTTATACATTCTAGATCTATATGCCTCTAAGCGATCCGATAGATCTACTTTAAGTCGTACGACTCTCTCTAGTAGTATAAAACGTGATCCCTTTTTTATATACGTCGCCCTCGGCGTACTCTATGATCCTTTCTATAAGTATGTTTTTTTATTCGATAGAGTTTTAACCCAAGTCCTATAAGTATCTGAAGAGGCTAGCAAATTGAGACTTTTTTGCAGATCTGCTGTCATATTATAGCCGATGTCCAATACCCCGGAAAGGGATCCAAGGGGTTTGTCTTGAGCGGCTTCCTCGAGCTCAGTGTTCAACGATTTCTCTCCATATAAGGGCCTATGGCCTCGGAAGTACTGGTTCTGCTGTGGTTAGTACAAATAAATATGTGAATGTAATTTATATCGCTCACCAATATATTAGACTTGGCGCGCATACTTACCTTGACCCTATAACTGATAGGCTTTGTATAATCTTGACCAGAAATAAGACTACGGCAAATACATAGTTCAAGCTCGAGATTTTAGGTAACTTGTCAGATTCGAATTATAGCTGTAAAAACAGTAACACTGTATTTACGTCAAAACACTATATAAACTTTCCCGAGTCTTCAAATATACCGGGTTCACTTAAAACCACTTTCTCTTCAGCAACTCAATTCTCATGAACGATCCAACGTCTGTATAAGTCAGTTAGTCTCGGCTGCAAAAGTTGGCAACAAGTTGGAGTAATTCATGCTCACATTTCTGTTCATCCATCTCGCTCAGCGACTCCTCCATTGTTGGCTGGATAGTCTTCGTGTTGTCCAAGCCAATCATCATAATCTTGGCAATGCTAGGCACGCCATCACGGTCCATAACAAACAGCATCCAGTATCCGGGAATCAGGATACCCGAGTCCTTGGGCAGGGTAGCCATGTAGGTATTCCAGAAGATTGAGGTAGGATAAATATGAAGTGGAATGCGGCGTTGATCAGTGTTGACGGTGTGAGTGTTGGTTCCCAAACGGATCAAGGAAGCTTTCTTGATCGGGCCGGATGTCTGGAATCTCAGAGTGCTGCCCACGGAGGCATAATCTTTCAAGCCTGAAATAATCTCTGGACGGGGACGGGGCTCGCCGGAGGCAGTAAGGAGGTAGGGGGGTGTAAAGATCTGGCCATCATAGTGGTTGGCCGTGCAGTTGCCACAGAGGCCACCGCCTGCATTCAATACTCGAGCATCTGGGAGGAGAATTGACACAGTGTGGTATACTCTGACAACATTGTTCTGCTGCATCTTGGTGAAAGTGTCGGTTTCAGGGTCATAGATTTCAGGAATAAATTGAACATTTTCCTCGTTAAACGCAATGCCGAACTGCTGGCCACCAAAGGTCGCGACCTTTCCATCGGGGAGAACGACCGAAGTGTGGAACACACGCTCATAGTGCATAGTGCCTCGTCCGGCCGGTTTAACCGTCGGCGGCTGGTTTGGTTCGCCGATGGTAATAATGTGGGCGGCGTTTGTGGACCATGATTTATCATAATCAGGGGAGCCACCGAGAGTGAGAATCTTTCCCTTAACGGCATCGAACATGACTGCGTTGCCCGACATAGAATCCTCATCGTCCATACGACGTCCTGCTGCCTTAGTAGTTCCATTGGCATGAGCGGAGTACCAGTTCATATTTTTGCTAGGCCCAGCTTGGAAAACACTCAGATCCTTCCAGCCGAAGAGCCAGCCATGGTTGTCCGCTCGCCAGGGACCTTCCATATCCTCCGTCAACATGTTATGGACTTTAGCGTCAGGAAGCATGGTCCAGTTTCGGGTAGCAGGGTCATAAACTTCGGCATCCTTCTCAACGTTCGAAGCTCCAGCCCAAGAACCTCCAATGACGAAGACGCGTCCATCGGAGAGAGTTGTAGAGGCCTGGTATCCACGACGGAGTTGCATTTCGCTTGCGCGAACCCACTCATCATTGGTAGAATCATAGAGACTAGTCTCGGAGGCATCATTGCCACCAGTCACGACCATCATACCGGTGCCGTCATATGAAATTCCTGGGCAGAACATGTCATGGTGGGTGTTGGTGACGGTGCGCTTGGTGACCTCGCCAGTCAATGGGTTCCATCGGGTCATAACAGTCTTTCCTCCGGGGGTCGAATGGAATAGGTCATCGGCCCACGAGGACCAAAGAGCAAGCATGCCAGATCCCTCCTGAGCACCGGAGACAGGCACAATTGGGAAATCAAGAGTTGGCCCCCAGACACCTAGAGCAGGGTTACGAGGAATGGTGTACAGAGTTCCATAGATGTTCAGTTCAGCGATACCGATCCAGGGATTTTCTTTATCGGCATCGGTAGTGATTCTGAGGTAACGGGTAGATGATGGCTCGAACGCAGACATTCGCTGTCTGTTTGTAATGGGCCACATTCCATATGCGACAGGCCCGGTCCAAGTTTCATGATCTTCGCTGACCCAGATCTTGTGCTGGGTAATGAGACCTTCGGTATCCGTATCAGTTGGAGGAAGGACAACAACGGCGCCCACTTGGTACCACGCCCCAAGATCGACAATGAAAGTGTGTCCCTTGTCGGAGGGGTCGCTGTGCCAGGCAGTATCGCTCTTGCCATCGATCGCATTTTTGCATGGGAAGTCAGCAGCGGAGCTGCTGCATGTCAAGGTCCAGTCTTGGCGAGGGATTCGGTGACCTTGGTAAGGAGGAGATTCATCTTTGAATTCCGGTACAAAGGAAGGGTTGTCGGATTTGCCATAGCCAGAAACACGCTCTCCTCTCATAGCTTGGTGCATGTATTCGGCCATACCATTGACTCCACCAATGGAAGCCCCAAGGAGGAGCCCAGCCCATTGAAGCTTCATGATGGGCGAAATTGATCGAAGAGCAAAAGGAATGTGAAAGACGAGGAGGGGAAAAAAAAGCTCACTTCACCTGTAGGAAAAGAAACCCTTGACGTGACTGAGGGCACATACATATAAGTATGCTACTCGGCATTCTCCATCTGGGGCGGAGCTCTACTCCCATTTCAGAACCAAGGGATTTTCTGCACAGGGTAATTGGCAATAGCCTTTTGCCAATAGTACAACATACGTGGACTATGACATTTTCACTGGATCTCTCGAGGGTCAGGTGGGGGTGGTTTCCACCAGTCAAGTGTCATATCGGCATTGTTGAAGATCGAGATGAGGGATAAGACGTCAGTGGGTGTCTGGGCCCACCTTGCGTAGTGCGACGTGACTGGGTCCTCCTTTTTAGATCGGTGAAAGGTTCCCAAACATCAGACCCGATCGGCGATGCTCGGTGACAAGTCAATGATCGGCGTTCTCCAGCGGAAAACTCGGCATGCAAGCTCACTCCGAGCTAGATATGTAGGTACCTATGTTGTATGCAGTTCAGCTGTGTGAGATTAGTTATTCCTACCCTGTATGTTACAGGTGGGGCTTCCAAGGTTGTACAACATACGAGTCAAAACGTTTGCAAAATTAGGTACTAACTACATGTCGATTATGAGGGAGGAACCACAAATACAGAGTACTCCGTACAAGAGTCGATAGTTCGTGCTAGCGGGCATAGGGTGGAGTCCGGCCCGCTTCCGCTTGAGACATCCATGGATTGATTAAGCGCTAAGCTTCCAAGGTTACTCCCGAAGAACCTTGGAAGTTGTCTTTCACGTAGGTGGAAGTCCATTTCAGCTGAGTCTGGTGTTATTCTTTACAGATGTGAGTTACATGTGTCCCCTCCTCGCAGAAATGAGTTCAAAATGCAGTAACATTATGTGGACCCAGTGGAAAGCTGAAAGCTGTCAGCTCCACATCCCTCAACTTCATCATTTTCCATTTTCTTGCGATTTATTTCAAACTGTTGGGTTAACATACCCTGTATACGATATTAAGCCATACCTAAACAATTGACCGCCATGACTTGTTACATGCTCTATAATCGACTAAAATGTCGCTCATTTAGATGCAGCTAAGTATATTGCAGCTGAAGCCTACATATGTATGTACTCCGCATGGGGTAGAGATCTGTACGACGTACATCGATGTACATCTTAAATTGCCAAATATAGATATTCCGAGACCTCCACCCCCTCCAGCCAGGACGTGTGCTATGTCATGGACGGAGTACTCAGTACTAGCCCGCAGGAACTGTGATGTTCGAGATAGGTATAATATCTATTGTCTCATTTGCTCGAAGGGTGACCCACCCGCCAAATGTGACT